TTGCTATTAATTAAATCAGATAAAAATTGATTTAAGTATGAATGAAAGAGAAAATAAAAATGCATATGAATTACTGATTTCGTGACAAAGATATATTGATTAATTTGAACCAAGTTTACAATATGAATAAGGTGAAGGTTATTTTCATTGAATATCAACAAAAGCGATTTCGAAGAATGTTAAGGTTTTCAATGATAATAAATGATAGCCAATCAAAAATGCTAATTATAGGCCATATTAACTAAATATTCAAATGTCTGTTTACAGACCTTTAATATTTGAATTTTAACTCAAAAAAAAACTGAATTTATTAATAATAATTTAAACTTCATAAATGTCTTTGTTTCCAGTAACTTCTAGAACGTTAACTTCATCGTTTTAAACGGATTTCAATGTTTAATAACAAATTGATAAGTTAATTATATGCTTTGTTTATTATTTGTTTATGTGTGACTGTTTCAATAAATATTATTATTTTCATTGAAAGTGTACAGAAAATTCATGATGATAATTTCGATTAAAAATTATAAGTTTACTTTCAAGTGTTATATAATGAAAAAAAGTAATAAAAGGAAACACGTTAATTAAAATTTTGCGAATGGATCGGAAGTGACTTTGAAAGTCGCAGTTAAATTAATAGTAATGAGTTAGCATCTATCCGGGTATCATTCTTAATTCCAAGCAATAATCATTTCCGTCGATGATAATACATTCATCTTTAGATTCTAAAGGAATACAGCGGATGCAGAAAAATTAAAAAAAGAATGTACAATGAAAATTTCCCGTGAGGTAATTAACAGGTGTTGTTAAATGGTTCTCGTTAATGAATGCACGTAGTCTTTCGGTGTTTTCTTAACAAAAATTTTTGTTTGTCTTTCTGAAGGAATTCCCGAGCGCGTCCTTGCCTCGTATATGTGGGTATGTGTCAAGTAAGTGGTAGAGGGCCCCCACTTGAAAGAGGCCGCAACTTGAGGCCCGAAAGCGATGGTTTTGTGGAGCGCGCCAGTGCATGTTGGACCACTCTTGTCGGCAGCTTCTTCACAGGAGACATGCGAAAGACATGTGCGCGTTAAGTGAGTTCCGAAGAAACCCAGTGCCGTGCACCATCACCTAAGTTCATCTGGATAATCAATAGTTTTAAAGGAACCAAAATCACGAAACCAAAACAAAAGCCCTTAAAAAAAAGCGTTAATAAAAAAAGCCAAAAGTAAGAATAAATCACATAATATAATTTCACACAATATAAACCCGACAATTTGCAATTATCGTTCTAACAATAAATTGCAAATGCGGATTTCCACGGATCACGACTATTTAAACGTAATGATTGACACATTAACTGTGCACATTTAATTGCGACAATGTATCTAAGTGAAATTTACTTCCTACAATGTTTTTTAACATACCGGCAATTTTATAAAAAATATATATATAAACGAAACATCATTGTAATAACACGTTATTGCGAGGATAAACAACGGCAACTGCATTAATTTATTCAATTCCTATAATTAGTCAGGCAAAGGATTATATAAATAAGAAAAACTGCTGCTCGTTGCATAACGCGTTTGTATACCTTGATGCAGGAGCTGCTACAATTTAAATGGTGCTGGCGTTTTCTTTGAGGCATGTGCGGAATACTTGAATAATATACCTACAATTAAATGTGCTGTTGGATAATACCTTATGTAACGATAGCCGTTTTACGCCAGTCCGATACAAATAGTCATGTTCAGATTTACTTCCTTTTGCGATTTGTGCGCGCCGCGTGCAGATAACATTTCAAATGCAAAATATACATGAAAATTCAAATTTCATTTAACAACATTTTATAGTTATAATTGATTACATTCGAAAATTCAATATATATAAACATCAATTAATTCATGACCATACATTTCTCAACTATGAGAAATTGATTGAGAAAATCTACGAAATATTTTGAAAAATATGTCAATATTTGTATTATAGAATATTGATTTACTTATTGTTTTTCAATATGTCTTAAGTTAATTATGTATTTCTTAAATTGTTATGCAATATTTAGCACGCCATTTGATAATTATAGTCATTATTCTTTAAATAACAATCGGTCAATTTTTTTTAATACAAAACGCAATATGCATAGATTTCACAAGATTAAATATACTGTGAAATTAGTTCGAAAAAAAAAACTGTAATAACTTTCAAGAGTTTAATTTCAAAATTAACTTTATTGACTATGTGCTAACTGTTCAAATTAAAATAAAAAGAGAACAATTAATCATAGATAATAAAAATTAAATTAATTCAATAGACGTGTATCGCGGATCTGATAATTAGAAACTTCATTTAAGGCATGAGAAATGAGGCGATTCCGTTACATTTAATAAGAAAAAATCGTGCATAGATTTAAAATGAGGTTAACGACACTAAAAGGAGTGAAACCCACGCGATTTGGGCGCAGGCGATTTTTCATTCCCATTTCCAAACAAACAAATACCAATAATGGATTTGAGAAACCTTCGTAGCATTTAATGCAACACTAATTTATTTATATACAGAAGAGTAGGAATTATGTCACGATTCGTGCAAAATATAATAAAAAAACATAGAAGAATGAGGCGCATCTTGAATGTCTTCTCTTCGTGATGAAGGATGCCTCTTGAGGCATCCTTGATAGTTTCTTTGCAACAAATAAAAGCGGCGCCAATGATATTCAAATTAATAAAAACATGTTTTTTATCATTCTAATATTTATTGAAAGAGTAAAGAATTCAAAAAAATAGTACCAAGAAAAACAAAATAACCACTTTCGTTTGGGAATTTCTCGAATCTCAATGACACACTCATCCGAATGGAATGTATCTCAAAATCAGATATAGAATGAATAAGAGGACGCAAAGAGGACAATTGTAGTGAATTATTCGAGACCGAGGAAGGTTAAATCTTTTTCCGTCGGATCTGTAAGTTTCCAAATTTTTCGCAACATTAATTGTGAACCTTGGGAATAGAATAAGTACATTTCAATGGATTCAGATCTCATGTTAACTAATCCCCCATTATTACAGGCTACATCCAATGTGGGTCGTTCCTTATTATATATATATAGTTTTTTTTAAAGGACAACAATGTTGCAACCCGCCATTGGGACTAATTATGTCACGAAATAATTAATTTAGTTAATAGCAAAAAAACAGACGCAGTTAATATGCATTTTAAATAATGTTTTGTAATTCGGTTTGAAACGAGGGAGGAGGTAACAAGAAAGTTTTTGAAAGTGTTTTTGGTTGCCTGAGCGTAAAAATTGTGGACTAGTAGGAAAGTGAAATGATAATAACAATAAAAGTCTGATAAATGCTAAGGTTAACGACAATAAAAGAAAAAAAAACTTTCAATTGCATGTCCAATTGCTGGATCTACAAATTTATTGTTCTTTTTGCTACATCCATAAATTATGATATTTGCCGGATTCCGTATATGCATACGTGGGTGTTTTATAATCGTTTTTATTCATGCGGATTGATAATTTCAACATCCCAATTAGTGAAACGGAAATTGCGGTTCGAAGGTCCCAAAAAATTCGAAAGTTATCAACTGGCAATTCTATCTGATGAGATGAACAACGGTCGCAGCATTAATTGCACGGAAAAGAAAGAAAACTAGTTAAAGCTAGTACATCAATTATCGACGCATCGCGGAAATGGATTAAAGGAATTCCCTCCCGGTGGTTGCAATAAAAAATTTCTAATTAACCATCCCAATTATTATTAATAAAGTAGAAACTGTACGCGTTGTTATCTAATATATATATAACTTGTCGGCTTTTTTTTTACACTTGACAAAACACTTTTCCTTTCCTTATGGTAATTAATTGCAAAGTTGTTTCGTTTACTCGTTCCTCGTTGTTTTTTTTTCAGTTAAAATTACTGTTACTGGTGCACATAGTGCTTCAAATAGAATTTAGAATGTTGAAGGAAAACGAAGACTTAAACGCCTCAAGCTAGTTCTCACTCGCTTTTATAATAAGAAATAGTAGAATTTCCGTTCGCGCTGATTATTCTTATTTTATTTATTTTTCTAAGCGGATATCGCAATTAAATCCATTACATTGGAAAAGGCGATTTAAAATAATAAGAGGGGAAAATGAGGTCTGAAAATTTCCCGAACAATTTCCGTCACTGAATGTTAGTTGATTAGTCAAACAAACATCGAGCATCAAGGTGAAACCGAACAATTCACACGTTCATGTAAATCCCATGTAAAAACATACGGCAAAAAAAAATGTAAATAAATCTCAACTATTGCAGCCAGCGTTAAATATACACACAACATTATCGAATTGTCTCGATATTTTAAACTAATTCGTAATGTAAATACAAAGTAGTTCAGTTATCAGGAAATCATAGTATTTGTACCACTTTCTTAGCAAAATAATGAGCCGCATTTTAAAATGTCGGTCACATATGTTTAAAATAAAAGAATCACGACAATGTATGTACATGAAAACAGATGCCAACGAAAATACTTCCATTCCAAACAAAAACAATGCTCTATTGTTGAACGTCTCACGGTTCACATACGCAAAAGAACGCATGTTTTCGGGTGGTATTCGTAAATCGGATTGCGAAAAAAATATATGAGTAGGAGGAAGAAGGCAAGACTAAGAGACCAATTTCGCACACATAACTTGGAACACAACATCCCGATAGCGCACCGCAAACAAGGCATTATCTAATACATTGCTAAATCTTGCGGAATGCGCTCCAATTCGTATTAATTAGAAAAGAATACGATTTCAGTTACAGTCGGGTAGCTGCAGGTGAAATGTTAAAATCGATTATTACCACAGAGCTCTGCGTTTTTTATGTTTATATTGGTAACTTATATGGGTGGCCGGTGCCATTTTGAAACAATGGTGAATTGAAAGCCCGGCTCGGTGAGTGGAAATTGTTATGGTCCAGTTATGATAAAACCCCGCCCTGTCCTCTAACCTTGGCGGAATAGACAATCACGACACCGCTCCAGTGGCCTCTGACCTAAGCGATACCGAACACCTTTTATTCATTAGCTTCTCGACGACGGCCGAGCCAAGAGATTTGTGCGTTCTCGCGAAGGCGCGCCCGCGAAAAATGTACAGAGGAAACCCTGAGGAAAAGTGCGCTCGTACACGTAGAAAGGAGCAAGGCTAGGCTGGCTCTCAACTAACTATCTGCCAATTTAATCTACATTCGAGCATAAGCTCTGCCGCGCGTAACTTAGGAAACGAAAGTGAAACGACGATCTTAACTGTAACCATATCATCTCATTCGGAAACAAAATTTCTTTAACATATTATTTTATTTCTGTTTTCAGATGCCGCCGAAATCGTTCTTTTGGGTTTTATTGCTGATCGGATTTATGCAAATAATACTCGTCGAATCGAACGGTCACAGGACGCTGCATAGGCTTGTCGGTGGACATTTAAGTGTAAAACCTGATCTGGATGACACTGAATTGATAATAACCTCTAGTGCGGGCGGAGGGCGCGAAGGAAAGCAAAAAAAGGGTGAAGATGGCGACGAGAAGAAAACGTTATCACAACAAGTGGCAGATGGAAAATACGGTTTAATACAAAAAGAACTGTTCTCTAAACCGGTTAAAAAATCAGGTGTTATTAGTTATGAAAGTAATCCGGAAGTGCCGTTAGATAACATCGATAATTTGGGAGGACTAAACAAAAATGACATATGGTTGGCCGAGAATCATCTGTTAGTGATTAAGGGCGGTTCGTATCCTCCACATGAAGCACAGAACGAAAGGACGCATCCCCATTGGCTTCCGATCGACGATTACAAAGCACCCAGTCGCCAAGTTAAAATCCCAGCCAACCCGAAAGTCCCGCCGCCCTTTCCCGTCCAACTCACCGAAGGAGGGCCGCTACAAATCTTGGGCACAAACACTACGACAACGCTTAATGGATCGCTCTCAGCGAAACCATACCCCTTACCAGCGTTCGAAGCCGGTGGCTTCTTCCCTCCCCTCGCACCCGGAAATCCATATTCGCCCAACTTTACTTCCGGGGAAACTCCGTTCCCAATACCTCCGTTCCCTCCGTCAGGAGACTATGGCCCGCCTTTCCCACCGTTCCCTATAAATGGCAGTTTGCCACCTTTTTTAGCGTCACTGCCCCCAGGGGCAGCAATACTCCCGCCCCCGGGAAACTTTACGGAATACGACGAAGACGACCCTTCCATATATTATCCGCCGCCATACAGTTTCTATTATCAAATGGACAACACAACAGCCGTGCCGCCGGGCCCTTTAGTGCCAGGAATAGTCCTTCCACCACCGCCAAATTTCTTCGCGCCTTTAGAAAAAACGCGCAAACCGCAACGACCAATCAAAAATCAAATGCATCGCACAACGACAACAACAACACAACGACCGACAACAACCACCGAAATAATCAAACAGATACATCCAACAACCACACCTCTACCGCCCACTCCGATAAACAAACCTTCGAGAATAAAGCCAACAGTGAAAGAACCAACAACCACGCAAGCACCAATAATAACAATTCTACCGGTGAGATATTTGCCAAAACCAAATCGAACGTACATCCCTGTAACCACCACTCAAAGACCCAACATACCGGAAAGGAGAAAGAGGCCACCTGCGGTGACAATTCTCCGTCCAGTAAAACCGTCAACTACATCAACCCAAAGACCACCGGTATTCTTCTATGAAAATAATGAAGTGGCCAATGGCAGACCTTTCAAGATATATGGACCTCCACATCCTTCGAGAACTGTGATTAGTTCAACGCAAATTCCACTGAAGGCTTACTACAGCACCTCCAATGACATCGATACAAATTCCGTAACTCAAAGACCAGCAAATAATGTTTATCGGGATAATGGCATATCAACTGTGCAAGTTCCTAAAACAACGAAACCACCAGCGCAATATTACTTCTACGAAGAGGCCGTTACTAATAGCATAACTACACCAAGAACACCAAAACAGAGACCAAATGAATATTATAATATTCCTAAAGAATATTATATACCATCCAGGCAAACTGTCAGAGGAAATTACCAGCAAGCTAATAAAGCAGTTCAACCACCTCAGCAATATTATTACGTAACGAACCGGCCAGCGAGACCTAGCAGGTACCGATTCATTGAAACAACAAAGAAACCAGATACGTTTAGCGTGCACGTGGCCCGACTAAAACAACAGATTCATCAATACTATACCACTCCAGATCCTTACTACGATCAGCGTCCGCATTCTTCATCAAAACCGGTGTATCAATTTAGTTTCCAAGCAGCCAATTACCAACCGAAACAGAATCAATTTAGACCATCTCCAATTGACGAGATCAACAACAATCAAGATAAATTTAGACCGTTGAACAAGTACAATGTACAAATACAGCCAGCAATTGAAGTATTGCCTACAGAAAGACCGGTCTATCAACAAAACACACCTGCGCCCGTATACTACCAGCAGAAGACAACCAGGCGGCCAAATTATTATTCTACAGTTCGGCCGGAATACGAATATGAAGAAATTGATGATAACAGAGGTAAAAACGAATATGTGGCCACTCCACGACCGATTAGTCAATATTCATTCGAGGCGACGCCGAACCCAATCTATCAACCGTATTATACCAAACAAGATGATTCATATTTCGATGATATTACGAAGAAACATTTTACAGTTTTTGGTAAGAAACTTCCCGGTGCTACAACTCCTTTGAGTAGGATTGAAGCCACAACTTCCAGCCCCCAACCGCAACAACCAGTATACAACAACAAGAATATTCCATATGAATACACTCAAGAAATTGGTAAGGGGATTTCTTTGGAAGGCGACACGCTTGTTAATTATGTACGTGCAGGACAACGGCCGAATCCCCAAGCTGAATATCTACCCAGAAATAGACAGCCAATTAGGTATCAACAGCAGCAACAGCCGCAATTGAGTTTAGAATCAGATATAAATGTAAATTATAAACATCCCAAGCCTCCAGTGAATCCGGATGCAGAAATCGTGCAAGCGATTCCAGTGAAATTAAGTGCAAACAACGGAGATAAACGAGGATCTTATATATCTTACGAATTGCCTGGAGACAATGGAGCGCACTTCTACTTCTTGACACCACAATTAGCACAGAGTCGAGACCAGGGTGCTGGTTACTACTATTCGAATCCAGAATCGCGAATCCGACGTAGCCAAAAAGACTCAGAATAATATTTAAAGAGTGTGTTTACCCATGTCCTATTATATATTTCATTGTAAATTATATTATATATTATAATATTTAAATTATGTGTACCGAACTGTGATTGTTGAAATGCGCGGTGATGAACAGTGTCTCGTCGTATCGATGAAAAACTAATTGGAGTATTGTCTGCGCGTATTAATAGAACAATTTAATATGTACCATGTTTACCATTATTGTGATTTGACTATTATTATTACCATTACTATTATTACCGCTGCTGCTGTGTATAAATATAATTATATATAATTAGATCTGCCTTTGTAAAATGTATCAAAATATATATATATAATTTTTTATAATTAAAAGAAAAATAAAATAATAATATAAGAGATATCTATTTCCTATAATCCAAAGGAAATTTTTTCACCTTCACATATCATATCAAGATTGTATTACTTAAAGTGTTTCCTAATTTACTTTTCTATTTGATATACAATGCCTCGTAAATTCATATTACAGTCAGTAGTATAGTCAACCAACGTTACCCCATTATAGTAATGAAAACGATATGCGAATCACTTACCTGTATTCAGCTCTTGTTCCGCAGACTCGTCTTTCAATGGGGCGTCGAACAAATGTAAATACACTTCAATGGCGCACCTTGCCGCCTTGAAATAGAATGGATGGCCTCGGAGAACGTCTTCCAAACGCAACAAACCCACATACGAGCGCAATGTCATTTTTCTCATGCAATATGTGTGAAAATCGAACTGATCTTCAATTATTTCCGAGAAATGCTGAAATCAAAGACATCGATGAAACATGCATTCCAAAATTTGTTGATTTTGTTTTATTACTCTGTCGACTTCGTGGCATTTCTTTAATGCCTCTCCGTATTTGGCCAATCTCTGGTATGCCAAGGCACATTCCGTTTGGAACCACATGCACTGCATCTCATTCAGATTTTCCATGGCGGACACGCCTTCCCTTGTGAATTTGGCACACGTTTCTTCGGCCTCCTTTACGTGGTTGGCGCGCAACATATATTTAGCGCATTTAGAATTGATATAACGATCGGCAGTATCTAGTGCTTGGGCCTCATCTAACCATTTGTATGCTTCTTGTGGATCACCAGCATGCTAAAACATATTTTACTATATATTCATTATGAAACTGGCTGTGAAAAGAAATACCTTGTATATTCTTCCTTTGGTTACGAACAGTTCAATCAGCGTTGGAGTGTGTTCTATAGCATCGTCTATGTAATTCAGGGCCTTTTCCGTGTTATCGAGGTAATCGTAGTGTTGAGCAAGAAAATAGTAAACCCATAATAAGGCAGAGGCGGGTTCTTTAGGTCCATTGGCGGTGTCCCCTTCATTGTATTTCCCGCACTTTTTTAAGGCATCTACGTATTGCATCATGAGTGATTCAATGATTTCCACTTTGGTTTTATCCGTGTACAGCGACCTCAAATCGACGAACAAAGGTGGCACACCTTTCGACAATCCCTTCCGCATATACTTATCTACCAGATTTTTGAATACGTCTCCACTAGCATAGTTCAATGGTAACCGTTTCGGTGGCATAGCGCGTGGAAAGAGTTCAGCGTATTCCACATAGAACTTCACGACTTCTTCGGGATCAGTCAGCTGCTTCGACTCGATCAGCTTTTTGTAATACAAAGTATTCTCCGGATTACGCTTGATCAACTCCTCATAAATTTTTGCAGCTGTTTCAAACTTCTTTAGTCGCAAATTCAACGAACCCAAGTTTTCCTTAAGCGTCAACTTGTCCACAATAGCATCCGAATTCTTTTCTAAGTGATCTAAAGCTTTTTGTAGATCACCGGATTCTTGAACTACCATGTTCTGGTAAAGGATAAGCTCACTGTGTTCGTAGTCTAAGTTTCCCTTCTAAAAGTATAAAATTAATACATTAGATTCAAATAGTTACTGTTGTAATATTACTGGTTGTTGATCAAGAAAAGTTTCCAAAATTTTGAGTGCATTCATGTAGTCTTCCAATAGATGGTAGGAGAGAGCGTAACCGATCCAGGAAGTTCTTTGCGTCGGTCTTAACATCAGTAACTGATACCTAGTTTCCTAAAAATAATCAAAAGTTGTTTATAATTTCAGATTTATATGTTTACAATTTGGTATATTAGTTACCCTGTACCCTTCCATGTCGCGCATTTGTATTTGCAAAAGGGATAGATCCCTGAGAATCTGGATGTTATCCTTTTCCCATTTCAGCGCATTCCTGTAACACTTGATGGCTTCGTCGTATTTCTTATCCGATCTTTGGAGCAAGCCATACACATGCCAACACACATGTGATTTCAAGTCATTTCTCAATCCCTTCCTGACATATTCATATGCCTCTTCCTTCCTTCCAAGACAATTTAATGTCAATCCCTTCATGGCTAACGTTTCTACAAAATAAGAAAATTAAGAATTAATTAAATTTCGTTCTAAATCACTTAATTTAAATAAATTATATATCTATAACATATCATATATATGTTTGAATTAAGTTCTTGATTAATCTCTAAAATGTAATTCATGTTTTTATGTTGGTTAAAAAGACTTAAACATTTTTATTGATATATGATTTGTTTATTAGAATCTAATAGAATACAACTCACCTCCATGTTCTGCATACTTTGGATTCATTAAAATTTGTTTTGCAAACTTCAGCCCATTTTTGTATTGTTTCTGTTCGTAACATCTCTAAAATAACAAAAAGAAGTAATGTTTAACAAATCTTGTTACAATATTAAAATTATTGGTAGTTCAAATTTGTTGTTATGGTTATGATTAGTGGAATGTATTTAAGCAACAGTTATTAAAAGATATTTATATGGCCAAAAAATCAGTTACATAACAATACAAATAATCAGTATTTCGAAGAAGCAGAAATTCAGTACCAAACTAAATTTAGCCAAACTGTCAAAGAGTCTCTAGAAATATGATCATCTGTGTTCTTCTTTTATTGGAAAACTTACGAATTTCCAGTGCTCGAAGCACTCGTACAAATGACACAGGAGGCACACAATAATAAAGAGACAAAACAAAACAAACATTGCTGTGACGATTTTGAGGTTAGATCGGGGGGCCGAAAGTTACGCGCTGTGTGGATGCACTAAACGTTCTGGTGGCATTGCATTTCCATGCGAATCACGTCCAAGGCATTATTAATAACTGGAATTAGTGTCCGGTAATACCGGGAAGTGCTTGAGATACCTACCAAAATACGTTTGAACAGTGCATTCTCTTTTGGCGCTAGTGGATTGCTCGAAGGCATTTTTGTGGTGGAAACTGTCTTGACCGGTGCTTCGTACGTTCCTTAGTTAATCCGTGTCCAGCAACGAATTCGATTTTTGTCCGTATCTTGCGGGCTAAAATAAAAACCTCGTGGTCACAAACTTCTTATAAAGTCGATCGCGGTCACGTGACAACCACTGTAGCCACCACAGATACACCAAAAACGTTTTATCATTTCCAGGACCAACAGGACTACTCATTAAACAAGAAAAAAACTAAATTTAAAATGTTATCAAATCGTTGGTCTCAAGGTATTTTATGAAGTACTATTGTATCAACACACAAATCAACAATTACATTTACATTTATTTCAATCTTGTCAATCTTTGATACAAAGATTATAGTTACAAAAATAATTATTTACAAATTTTCAAAGTTAACAGTTAATTAAACTATAATTTATTCATAAGCTAAGTAAGTGTTTAAAAGGAATATCGTCTCATCAATTTCCAATTCAATCGTATTCAGCTTCCTCATGGTGCCTTCAATAACAGTCAGCATTTCCTTCTCTGGTGGCGTTATCATTTCATCAATCTGAAATTAAAAACAAAAAAATAAATATAACTATAAGATCAATGTATGCATTAAATAACTTACATCGCCAAGCTGTTCTTCTGAAGCGCCCTGAGTTTTCATACTCAGAGCAATGGTATCAACCCTATGCTTTTTATCAATCAAACGTTTGTTCACTATCTTCTCGTGATTCCTCCTAGTCAAAATGTTATATAAACTTTTGTAACAAAGCTCCAGGACCATTCTAACAACTTGGGACAAGTCAATGTGGAAGAGTATAAAGGATTTGGCTGGACCAGAGCTCGCTGGAGCCTTCTTCAACTCTTGAACTTGCAGAAAGTTCTCTTCAAGTAACTCATAAGTTAACTTCTTTGATTCTTTAGCTGGGATCATGGCCATCTTTTGGATCTGATCCGGTTCTATGTAACTCTTATTTTTCACCAAACAGAAGATCCTAGCCGCTTTTGAATCAAATTTCTCCAAAACAATTTGCTGGATAGTTTCCCAAGTCAGCTGCGTGAAAATATCCTTCATTTGTATTTGAAACGAACCTCCGCTCGCTTCTCCAGCTTTCCGAATTATATTACTACTATCTTGTTCTAAAATATCAATTGTTATAATATGCAGTTAATTATACTTATAATTACTTTACTTACCAATTATATTTATGTAATTATCAAAAAACGCAACTTTATCCGAATTTGGATGAAGCTTTTTGATGATGTCCTTAACTTCTAGAATTGGTATAGGATTAGTGGTATCTGCCCAAGCCTCTGTTCGTATATACATTTGCTGCAACATCACTCTTATAATTTCTGCAGCACTAGCATCAAATTTATTCTCAATGGCGCTCTCAATTAATTTATCTCTCATATCCTCATGGAATCGATCATGGTTAATTTGCCAGAATATACCAGTATCCTTCATTATCACATTGGGTTCACCACTTTGTTTCTTGGATAACTGAGATAACTCTACTTCTGGCATTTTGTACATATCTTGAACATTTCTAACCAGTTCAGGTACAGCTTCTTCAATCTTTGGCAATTTTATTCTCATTAAATACCTAGCAGTAATCATTGCTTCTATTTTATCTCTAATATCAACAAGTGGTGTTGGTGTCTGGTCATCTTTTCCCATACGATTATAAGTTCTAATGATCAAATCAGAAACTGTACAATAACCTGATTGCAACAGTTCTTCTAAAATTATTTCAGCCTCATCTCCAAACTTGGTTTTCATAAATCTAATGTACTTTGGATATCTCAACATCAGCAATATTTTAGAAGTTTGTATTGTATATAATGCAGAGGTGCGATTGTGATTGGCCTCATAATTAACCAAACCATACTTGATTAAAATGCACAGTGACTCTTTTACCTACAATAAAATTATATTAGTTTGATAAAGAAAATGAGTTATTAATATATAACCTTTGAGGCTGGTAGTTGAGTGTAAACCCGGATGTGTTGCAGTGGGCAAATGCCTTTTTTGAAAAGACATGAACCAACAGTTTCAACATATTCTCCAAATCTTTCTAGCAATATTAAGGAAACTACTTTACCCAGTTGTGTGGACATTTTTAAAAAATATTTTTATATTCTATATTATGGAAATACTGCTAGATACTAGTTGTATTTAAAGAAACCGAAAACTAATGACGAAAACACCTCATGCATTTATTATGGTTGTTCATAACCTAAGATTAAGTGTATGTTAAGTTGCATATACTGCTATAGGGATGTCATTAAATAGTTTCTTAAATTTATTCGAGATGTCAGGTATTTAAATAACACATTAAATTAGTTATGAAAGTTTTCCAAAATTCAAATGCACTTTCTGCAATGATCGTTGTTATATTTACTACTATACTACTACAACTATTTTAAAATATTTTTTTTAATGAATGAATTGTTTAGGATTATTGTTGTAGTAAATATTTATATTGTTAATATACAAAAATAGATATTATTTAATATTTGGGTTTCAAAGGTTATTTTAATAATAGTTTTTATATTTAGAAACATACATATGTTGAAAACACCTAAAGCTATAGTCTAATCAAAATCCGGTTGTTACTCAACTAGCTCTGAAATAATAAAAGGCTCTCTACAAACGCATTTGTTTCGTGGGTAGATTTTTAAGTATCTACTATAATTTGATGGTCCAATTAAAACTATATGTACACGACTGTCTCGATTTTGTTGAATCAGCAAAACAAAATACTTGAAATCTTCAAACACAACTTTATAGCTTATGTAGATGTCTGAGGTGTGACTTCTATTATTACGGATGCGTTCACCCTGTGGGAGGCTGTAAATATTTATAAAACGATTATGTTATTGCGCTGTGCACGGGCGACACTATTAAATAATTAGAAACTTTTAATTAAAAGTCATAGATTCCTCCGCGCCGATTGCGACAACGACTAGCGTAATTGTGCAACAAGCATCATCGTGTATCATTGTCGCTGTTTATACAATGCCTCTCAATCATAAAACCGCGGATGATTAATTACCTGAAACATAGGTGGTATCATTTAAATTCGTTTGTTTTGCCGCGCGGCTACTTCTCCACTGATCTGCCCACGACCGCAGCCGACTTAACACTTTGTTATTGTTTTTTTTAACCGGCGGATTTATCTGTATTTGTGACACCTTCGCGTGACCTGTGGGGGTTGCGGTTGCGTAACTCTTCGATCCGAGCAGGTGTTTGGAATCTGCCGCGCGTGCTACGACAATAGAATTAGTTCTATCGAGATGTGAAAAACAGTATTGAAACGCAGAAGAAATCATGGTTTTCCCGCTTCAGCGTACACATTTTGCAATACATTAGCATGTAGGAAACTCGTTATGCGTGTTATTTAGAAACTGAATAAAATAATACTTATTTCTTTTTATTTCTCTTGTAAATAATTAGTACCTTTCGGGAATACGCAGCGCGTATATTTATTTGTTCTTTTTCAGCATATTCTCACGTCGGTCGAGCGTAATCAAGATTGATAACGTTGCTTATAACTGCATCCATCTTTCTAATGGTGAGAGCGAGTTTTCTTTTGATCGGGATTCCAATAAAACGTTTACCGGGATGAATGCGAGAGGAGACGACTGACTAGTCGCTAATCTGGCTTCTTTTTTTGGTGGCAGTCTGCCTGCATAATAAAAAGAAAAGTAATAAAAACCGAGCTTTTCTCAGGGTACGGGTTTATATATACACACTTCATAATATCCAAACATCCAATGCAGCGGCGTATCTCGCATTCCTACAACTCTAAATATATGAAATACATTGAAAGATTAAATTGAAAATATAACAAAAACACAAGTTCTATGTTCATATTTTATCTACTATTACTTTGAAGTATTTAGCAGCAATTTATTCCCACGGGTTTCGATCTATATGGGATTTCATACTATAGGGGCATATTTATCCTGATATGAATTGAATTACGTGCATCTGTTTTGATTTAACATTTTCAAAATGAATACACTAAATATAATTTTAATTAATTCTTCATTAATGGTAAGATGCTAGTGTGTATCTGCTTACGAACTGTAGAGATGTGTCAATGTATTCATTAGCATTTCTATAAAGTACCTAATCTGCCGTATATTACAACTATGCCAAATAGCTTCAACCTTCGTGCAGAATTCAAGTCGCGTAGGCGTTGAAATTCCTTAGCGTATTCATAATGAAGATTGTCATCAGCGGCAAATCGTAAATTTTGGTTATTGGCTTCTCACAACGTTTATATTTACAATCTCAACTATTCCGTCACGCTAAATTTGATATAATTGATTATTTATAATATTTGTGTCTTTGTTTTGTATCTAAATGATAATTAATAAGTATGCAATGTTATAACATTTTATATAATAAGTCATATAATAAGTTGGTCACCCATTCAAGAGTTCTTAACTATTGAACATCAAAAACACTTGAATATATTTATAAGTACCTACAGCGATGCTTTCTTACAATCCAATTCTATATTAATACATAATTACTTTAAGCGTTTTGAATAACAATTAATGATAGAAATAAAATAATTTGAATATTTTTTTAATTAAGTCGTGGATATAAGGATTGATGAAAAACATTACGCTTAAAAACCCAAACTTAAATAACACTCATTAAAAATGAATTATATTACAAATTTTATTATTGATATTTATTGGTTAAGAGACAGCAAAATTCCAATTAAAACGTATTATCATACAAATATGGCAACGCGATTACGTAATTACCACACAAATATAATACAGTAGAAGAATAAATTATGAAACACTTAACCGAAATCATTGGAAAACTGTAGATTTAATGAATTTCTTATACGATTTACTTCGATTGAGAGCGCAATACAAATGTGTTTGTTAAATGTTATTAATTTGTAATTGCCATGCGGTGCGCGTCCCATTGAACAGTTCGGCGTTACGTAATCGTGTAGTTTTAATTGTAATGCAGACACACACGGAGACGGCCACTATTTACAAATAAATAATGCATGCGTTCAAATTCGTTGCACCAACATGATATTGTTTTATATTTTTTTTTTTTGCAAAATTTGCGAAACTGTAACCGATTGTAAATACATTGTTCGAATGAAATAACATTTGCTTTTTCAATTTTTATCACATTTCAAAGTTACCTTCAAGCGCGTCACGCAATAATCAGTAATTGAATTTGTTTCGTTTAAATGAAAAAAAAATGCTAAATAAACAAAACTTAAATGGAAAATAGGTTTACGTTAAATCATACGTATTTGATATATGTTTTATAAAATTTCTAGTACTAATTGTATAGAAATAAACAGTAATGTGAATGAAAGAATATTTTTTTGCTTATTCATTAAGGGTAAAATTTATGTAACTTTAATCAAAATAAATGAAATTTTTTAGTAATATTTAAAGTAATTGTGTGTAAAACACATTATTTATTACAGATAAATATTTATGTTATAATTATGCAATTTTTCGAACAAAAATTGTTATATAAGTAGTAATTTATAACATTTTAATAGAAAAATTCAATGTATATTAGTTATATAATATGCATTATTTAAATGGGTTGTAAAATCTTTACTTTAATATTTGAAAAAAGTTAAAAAGTATGTATTTTTTAACATAATATTTAGTTAAAGAATGTACCTTGTATTAAAACTAAACATTTATTTATAAACTTGTGTAAAAATATGTTAAATCTTCAATTTTATATAGCAAACTATAGATTAACATTAATTGTTGTTATAGTTTAGAAATCACGATTTTTATGATTTATATAATATTATTACTGTATGAAGCTTGTGAGGCACAAAGGAAAATCTAACAGACTAATTACTAATTTACTTTATTGTAATTGTAGCATACATCATAATTTCTAGTACATTATACAAGTAATTTGCATGTGGATTTACTATAAATGCTTTAAATAATCGTCAATTGACTAGAAGAACAATGTGAGTAGGTTGAGTGTAAAAATGAATCTTGTAGTAATGATGAATTGTAAATGGAAGTTCGTCAATGGAAACATTTTTTTATTCATTATTTATGGATGAATAAAAAAAGCCTGAGAAGATGATGAAAAACATCTATAATGCATATGGCTATTAGAGAAATGAAGCGAACAGGAAATGCGTCCATTAATGTTAATTTCCTGCGGTTCTCTTCGACGGATTTTCCGCGCCCTACCGTTGCAGACAAAAGGGCGTCCCTGCACGCCACTGGTCCGGAGCGCCCTACTCCGATGCCAGCCGTTTCATTCACGTTTCCTCGCATTCTCTCCTCCCGAGAGTATTTGAGAGGGAAAGCTCTCTCATACCCAAAGCTCGATGAGCGGTAGCCAGAGTACTGCGGTCCGAGAGGCAGTTATCAGCTGACTACGAAGCGCTCAGCACGGTGGCTCACTCTCTCTCCTCATAATAACGCGATCGTTCTCTTCGCATTCGAAGAACATCAAAAAGTTCGAAAATTTCGCGTGCGATTCTACATCCAAACAATAATGTAATACCTAGATACTCGTCGGCTTATCGATTCGCATCAGGGATCTCTTCTCGTCCTAAGCTATCGAAAAAGCTTCGCTTTTTTTTGCAGAGGGTGAGTTATTTTAATCGATTTGCCGAGGGGATGCTAGACATCTCCCTTCGGCGTGTGTTGTTGTAGGGTGTGCCGGCAAGCCTCAGGAATTCATATACTAATTATTTACAAAAAAAATTAAAACATACAGAAGGTGTGGAACGAAAACATTCCCCCCTGTATTTAGTTTCAAACAAAATAAACAATTTTCCGAATTTTCATTCAAAATTTCACTGCTATTCAATATAATAAGAAATTTATGAGGAAAGTAACGTAAATTACAAACAACTTAATTTAATAGAAAAAGTTAAATTAATTACAATCAAAGTTTACATTTTATTTGAGAATCATTTGTTCACATTCGTGTATTTACTTATTTATTAATTTAACTTAGAGACGTATTAATTATATTTTAAATAAATATTGTAATAAATTTTATTTTTAATATATATTTGGACTTATTTTTAAGGTAATTGGAGTTGTAATATCTATTAGATTATTTATAACAATGTTTATATTTAAATTGAAGTAAGCCTACAAACATACATAATTACACTTTAAACACTAAATTATTCGTAACAAATTGTCAAGATTTTATATAATTTATAATATATTATTTTTTATCAATTAAAAAATTTACGTACGTGCTTGCTTTTTATAAAAGAAAGAAAAATTAAACAGTCAAAAATGTATTAATAATAATATTTTATTTGATAAAACAACTTTAGATTAGATTATTATTACAAAACAAGATATAATTAAGTTATATGTTTAATTAAATATAACATAATTCGTTTGATAATATAATTATTGAAGGATTTCAATAATCAATAGCAAGTAATGGAAAGGTAATATTGATGAGAAATCAGAACGCTCGGATTCTTGTTTAATTCAAGTGGCAAGGTTATCATCAATTATGAAGTAAATACATAAAGTACTTTAGTATTAAATTATAATACTTAGCACAATTTAATCCGCACAACGTAGTCAGTTTCGTATAAAAATAGCAATTCTGAACTTGATATCAAGTAAAAAAAAGAATATGTATTTTTGTTGATCCTGCAGAAATTGTATTGTTTCAATGCGATTTATCGTCGAATTGTTTGCAAGTGTAATTAAGAAACGAGAAAATGTTGCTTGAATGCGTATTTTTTTTTTCTTCAATTTTCGTTTTACGGCTATTTTGAAAGATGATATCCTTGATATGCAAAGATACAAATATAAATCTGACATGCTCGTAAATGCCGGTGCTTTTGTATTTAATAAATGCAGAAAGATTAACATCTTTCTGTCGTCGCAACTTATGATACTTATATTTCACGGTTTTAATGTTCGTTTTGATAAACTGATATTCAGTTTATAAATATTAAATATTTTATATTAATTTAATAGGTTTTACTTCTAATTGTACTTTGATTACAATGATGCAAAATCAGATCCATTCCAAAAACATCCTTGATACACGTTGCTTAACTATTGCAGATCTGTCATAAATAGTAATAATGCAATTTTTAAATGTAAACATTAAAAAAAAACAAGCTATTTGTCATTGTCTAACAAAAGAGTTGTAACCAAATATTATTGTTGAATGTATTCATTTGCACGTTTTGCCTTTGATCTAAACGCACGTCTGCGGTTCTTCCTCAGGTTATTGACCATTTCTGACCAACATCCATGAATTAGGAGCAATCATCCAGTTAATATTTACAATAAAAGTCGCGTTTAACGAATTTATCCATATCATCACTATTGCACATGTCAAGTGACACATTTTCACTCTATTTTAATTAAGTGGACAATAACATTTATCTCGTCGTTCGTGAAGTGAACAAGTGAAAAACAAATAAAAGAGAGTTGCAAAATTCTCGATTATTCTCATATCAGACCTCAACTGAAAGTAAATAGTGTATGGACTATTTTTATATAATCTTTTGATAAGTGATAAATATTTTTTTCGAAAAAGTAAATACAATAACATCGGTAAAAATCTATTTTTAGATGTAATTCATTAAATAATTTATCAGTGAATAAACAAATATTAATGAAAAAGCATTTATAAAGCAAACTCTTATTATGTTTAGTATTTAATTTACATTATTGCGTATATTAAATTATGTATCTTGTAAAGTAAATTTAAATATTGTGTAGATATAACGAATTTTTATTGATTGCTTTAATATTCATTCTTAATCCTTATTTTCTTCGTTATATAATTATAATAATCTCAAAATAATTTGAATTCCTGTATCTGTTTCTTTAGTAAGCAAGTTTTGTATCGTGTAATAAAATAACGTATTTTTTATAATTTCGTATTATTTATTGAAATAATATTTATGTTTTATCAAGATTTGAATGTATTGCTCTAAAGCATTAGTTAACATGCATTTTATGTTGTTGTTAAAGTGGAAATTTTAATCGAATTGGTTACATAATATTCCGAAACCCGAATAAACTATCGTATTTTGCAGCGCTATGAACTGTGCCACATCCATTAAGTTCAATAATTCGAACGAAACTGTCGCCGCTTTCGCCAAATGCACGCATTTCAATTTGCAGTAATCACTAAAACCGCATAGATCAACCCAATCTTTCTTTTTTGCCTAAGAACTGGGCTATCAGAATGCAAAAACAAAGAGAGAGAGAGAGAAATAATCATGTACATATTTGATAATTTGCATGCGAATTTGGCGGATGGCGCAATTTCAAACGACTCGTCACTTCTTTCTGCAAGTTTCGTTTGAGCTGAAGAAGAAGTGCGAGTCAAAAAAAAAGAAAGAGACTTCTTTATGACGAGGCAATTGCAAAACTTGAACTTTCAAACTGGATTCGCGCTGCTCGCAAAGGAACCCTCAGTTAAAACGCGGACTCGGGTTGCGCAACGCGACGAAGAAATGTAATTGTGCGTGAAAAATTTCAACTGAAATCGATTCTAAAAGTGGAAATTAAATAAATGGACAGCGAATATCCGCTCCTACTAACAATGGTTTTATAATACGCGACAAAAAGGACTTCCTGAATCTATTAAAGTTTCTCAATCACTTTAGCGTTGCGAGTTATTTGTTTTTTTTTTTGGGAATTTTGTATATTTTGGATTGCATGTTTAGTATGTAAGGTTGTTTTGGACGGTCGAAAGGTTTACCGTAACCGAATCGTATAATTTACCTTTGCAGGTAAACGAGAATTATTTCTTTTATAAATATTATTAGTTTTGCAGAGCGGAAAGTCCGTGGAGCATGCCAAAACGCGTGCCGAGGCTTATTCAAATTAATCACGGGGCTTATGGAAAATACGAATTCGCCCGATATTTCATGTCTAATTATAATCCATTCCGAGTTACGGGACTCCAAAGATTTCTTCAAGACATACCGCAAACCTCGGCGAAATTTTTATCATTCTTATCGCTAATCCGCAAACGCTTGCAAAGATTAACATTATCATAATAGAAACAAATTATTTATAATTTATTACTTAATCAATCAGGATTATTTCGTAATTTAATTAAATCAAATTCGGAAATTAGTTTGAATCTTATTCAATTTATAAATATTTTTAAATTTGATTTAATTTATTCTAATTGCGTATTTAATTTAAAATAATCTTAAACTCATAATATTATAAATCACAATACAAATATATATTTATATCATGATTAGTTAATAATACGATTTTAGAATTAATATATGTCAATTGTATGCGGTGAAATTTTTTTTGTATGGGGATTTACTAGAAAGCGAAGGATTTGTGGAAATCCTGCAGCTTTGTCGACGCACATGTCGCCTTGCAGTCGTATTGTTTCTCCATGTACGTTACTTTTTATTTTAATGATATCCCATTCTTCACTTGACTGTAGACGACAAAGTAGACGAACAACAAAACTAACACCATTTTATTTATATATTTATATGTAAACGTGGTCGACCCAGATTACCAAATTCTAAAAAAAAAAACAGTGAAAGAATTAAAAAAATGAAAATAATGTAATATTTAGTATTTGATTATGTACATTTATTTACAAAAAAAATAATTTGGTCACTTAGTATTTAACAGTCACAGAGAAGCCTCACAAGTTTGCTGGGATAGTTGGAATTCGATATATAGGATTGTGGTGGAATTATGCTTGAATGTCCTGTAAGATATTTATAAGCGTAATAATTCCTGTTATTCTATGAGCATATATCAAATATGTATATAGATTTACTATAAATTTACAATTGATTTTATAGAGAAAAATGATTTAATAATACGCATGTTATATTTCCTATTTTTGTTGTTTGAATTTAATTGACAAATATTTATGCCTAATGATTGAAATATAAATAACTTAAACACTTTTATGTACTTTATACATATTTGAATCTTATTCAATTATTTTCAATTAGTTTAGTCCAAATGTTGCTGTGTATTTAGGATTTAGTATTTGTGAATGTAATAAGTATGTTTATTAAACTAAACACCTTGACTGCTTGTGTACTCTATAAATATTTCATGTTCTTGAAGTGATATTTGTTTTCGGTGCTTTTACGCTTCATAGAGGCTTTAATTTGTGGGTGTTGTTGTTGAGTGCCATCCAACAACGAAAAAAAACAAAGGGTAAAAGTTGTGGAGCGGAGGAACAGTAATTCTTGTGTTTATTGTCGGATGGAAAAGTAATACTCTCGACGTTCATTAAGGGAGTCGCCATAAAGCTTCAATTGATATGAAGGCCGTCGACCCTCCGTGTCTCGCGTCATTGCAACGCGACTCCTCCATTTGCTTACCAGTTTTTTTTTTTGTTACCATATACGAATCCAATTTTCGTTCAACAACATTACTCTTTTCATTCGTAATTTAAATAATCATATTGTTAATTGAAATACGCAAAGATTGACCAATTAAAACGGGTAACTTTCAAATCGATCGCTGTTCTCTTCCATATTTCTTCGCACGGTAATTGCAGTAATTTTTCATTTCGTTCACGTGAAAAAATCTCTCCTAATGCATATTCGAAATAACAGAGCAACAAATTGATACGCAACAGAACTGCTCATTTTTGCTGTACTTGGCGTAAACAATAATTACATATTTTACAGTCTACTTCTTGCTACATGCTCGGTACTAATTAGTGCCGGAGGAAAGTAATTGATGGAGGAGGAATAGGAAGAAGTAGAAGTAGCAGCGTGTTGTGAACTCGGTGAACGGGATTTGCGAATTCGCGAAGAGCCGGTGGGCCCGGTGTCGGAGGGATTTTAAAATAATTTTCCCGAAGAGTGGAAGACGACGAGTCACGCATCTGCAGCGGCGATATTCATTTACTTTCTTGGCAAGGGCCTTTATGAAACAAGACTAAAACCAAATCCGCCTCTTTGCTGCGGCCCCTATAAATAAAACGCATTTTAAAATCACGCTAATTACATTAATGAAGATTAATTTGGTGACTACGGGCTATTTAAACATTATTTGTGGAGCGGCCGACTCGGCCACAGCTCACTAATCAGATAGTGATCGATACGCGGGGCACCGTTCCGTCCGTCGCTCAATTTACCATATCCCCCGATCCTTAACCGAACCTTATGGTAATAATCCTCGATGATCTGAGCAAAGTCTAACTGGGTCGACTTAGACTGCCTATCGAAAAGCCACCTATATAAGTAAGCTGCAGTTCTAATTTTAAGGAAACAACACAACTGGAACTGCACCGTCCCGTTATTAGTTCACTAATTTATAGAATTTAGCGCGCCCACGGGAACAGAAATAAACCTTTTTCCAAAACCAGACGTTCGCGCCGCAACAAGAATTATCGACTTCATTATCCCTTTGTCTTTTCCTCCGTTTCTCACAACGTGTCCGGCCTTTATGCCACGTTACATAACAATTTTCACCAGATCCACTCACGTGTTATTAATTACTTAGACGGTATAAATAAAACTAAATCATTCCGAGTTTCGGAAACGTTGTTTGACATCACTAAACCCACTTGAGCATTTTTCAAAATGCATTCAAGATGTGTTTTTTACTCTAAAATAATAGTGCACGCGTCAGTCAAACAATGAAATAAACGAATATAATGAAATAATAATTCTTTAGCACCAATCGACATATATTTAACGCTTTGTCATTTTATGAATCACGAAACGCAGAAATAAATTGATACTGCATCTTCCTTCTTACAACTGAAATTAGCCTGTGCTAAATATATAAGATACAAAGTTTAACATTAAAGAAATAACATCAAACGTTCAAGATTATTACAAATCTGCTGTTACTCATTTTAGATGGAACTAGATTAATATTTCCGATTAACTTAATCGAATAGATATTGCAAATAAAGTAAAACGTTTGACGCAGTTGTTATCACATATGTCAGAGTTTTAATTAATTGTAATAATAATAAGTATCAGAATTACATATTTCGCAATAAAAACAAAAAGTGTGTCTTTATTTATCTCTTCATGTTAATTAGCATTTGATTAATTTTAATTGGACTTTTTAATTAATGCTACAGATGTGATTATTTTTGTTATATTTTATACTTAAATATGTAATTGTACCAAAATCAATTTATATATTAATGAACAACTAAATTTAATTGTAGCTTTTTAACCATTTTTATGGAATTTCTTAAAAGGAACAAATGAAAGCTATTTTATGCAATTATAATAAATTTTAGAGGAAATAAAGAATAAACAAAGGCACTATTAAAGGGACATTATGTAACATAAGAAGCTAATGGTTAAGTCTGGAGGAATATGATGTATATTATAGTTTTTTTATGGCTTTAAAACTGTTGGTATTATTAAATTTACAAAAATATTTGTAAGTTATAAAATATGTACATAAAACTAAAACAATTTGGAAATTAATTTCAGAATTAAAACTGACATTATTCATAATTACTGAAGAACGAGACAAGATTTGACTGACGTATATTATGAAAATTAATTGATTGAAAATAAAAAGTGATATTAATGATAGGTTTATTTAACAACCCAATAATATTGCTGTTATAGACAAATTATAAGCGCATTAATACTTAATGGTATGCTACTAAAAATAATCAATTCTAAAAATAGAAACAAGTCTGTTTATTTTTATGATATAATTTTTTATAATGCAAATAACGCATGACAAACAGTTGCGTTTCGTACAGGCTGTCTTTTTTGTTTTGTTTTTGCTTTTATCAAGAATAATTTTCCCGAAACCCGACACGACTTTGAGAATCCAACGCCGGGCACATCCTCCTCCACCACCATCATAAAGTTTTTTTGTTCCTTCCTGCTCTCAAAGTGTTGCCTCAACTAAAACCAGATGGTTAGTATCTGTATTGTACCGTATGACCGTTCCACGACACTGTATCAATTTCATCTCCCTGCTTTCCGATTAAAATAATAATTTATTAGTCGAACATCGCAGATAATTCCAGTGTTTATTGTTCGAAATTATACTTTGTTGCAGCTCGAGACTCGAGACACCATTAAATTGGATTTACAGCCGTATCTGTTTATGATAAAATTACATAATGGCTATATTCGAGCGTAGATTTTTTTATTACAATAACAACAACAATAATAAAAGAGTAGGCACGGTTATGACACTGTCATTTGAAACGAGCTGGAGGTTATTAAAGACTTCGTTTTAAGGTAAATGCTCAAGTTTTAACGAACATTCACGGTCAACAGATATTCATAGAGATCCGTCATTAATTCAATATGAATGGTTTCCTATTTTTACCTTTCGCCGGAGATTATAGAAAAAATATATGTACAGATGAGTTCTTTCCAAACGTCTCAATGTCGTAGTCGATTCGCATCAATCACGCCTTCGACCGTTACATAATCGAAACATTGTTTATCTGTCCTCCAGGATCCGATGGATCCTTCACGCCATTACGTATGTATTCATGCAAATCGTAATCTTCTTAAGCGCAAACACCAAATACATCCGAGCCAAAAATCGGTTTCGTACATCAATCAAACGGGAGTCTTTCGCAATATCTTTTGTTGTCTATGTCTCACGCAGATTCAGTCCTTTCATTTGGCAATCATACGATATTTGTGGAGTGGATTATACTACTATAAACTAATCATATTAGAAACGCGAAGCACGTGTTTCGATTGGATAATCCGATCCGCGTTACGTCCATACTGATCCAGATAAAGTTAATTGCATTTTGTTGCTAACAAATCGCAGCAATTATACAACCAATTGATCCGCTCTAATTAATTGGTCCGTTTAGTTCCAATTGGATTTAAATATTTGATGGTAATGATCGTAATTTAATTGTAATTACTGTTCTTTCGATCCGATAAAAAAATATATATAGAAATGCGAGAATTGTTCTCTTTATCCTCGGAATTTCGGTGCGTAACTTGAAACTACGTTGATTCTCACGCTCTCCTTTATAACAACGTTATAATATGGAATTCGATCAAGAATTGAATTAAACATTTTTTGTATCGTTAAAAAAAAGTATTGACTTATTCAGTATTGGTAGCGTGAAAATCACGAATCTATATAAATTTTATGATGTGATTTAAACTCGAATAAACTTTATTTTCTTTGCAGTTAAACAATGTTTGTGAATATGCAGAGGAATAGGAACAGTTGGGGTCCAACGTCCATCCCATCTCCGATCCACCGGATGGCACCAGACTCGGAGTTGGAGGAGGAATGCAGCGAGAGGATGATGAGTGCACAGATGAGGCAATTGGATCCACTTAAGGAAGATTTGGCCGATTGGCTCAACAAAACGCTCGGTGAGTCGATCGAAGATAACGAGCTCCTTAAATACATCCACATATAGGGCGCATTATGCACCACAGCATCTAATTGGGGCTGCTTTCTAAATACATTACAACTATTTATCTATTTCAACGCGCGTCGAGTTGATAATTAAAAAAAGAACGACAGAGTCTACGTGTGTAGTAAACATGTAGGAGTTGAGGTTGTACATCTTGTAAGTAATTTGTAGTCGCCTGTGCCAAATAGCGTCCGTGATCGTGAGCGAAATGCTATGAAAACTAAATGCACAACAACGGGACCGCAGCCTATAACTTCCACCTAGGTGGGGTCCTCATGTTTCCATCATTTTTCACTTTTTTTTGTATGTTCCTTCCTCAACGCATCCGACGTACATTTCGTAACTGTAGTCTTCAACAGCTCAACAAAAAATACCAGAACCTGCACATAATACATAAAAGAGCGCCGACTATCGTAAATTTGTCACAAACTAGGCCGAACTCTTATATATTTGGGCATGGGGGGAAGTTCTAGCTATAATCTTCTCCTCGACATTACGAGATATCATCGCGTTTTGTTTCTTTTCCTTTTGGTATTCTAATTTACTTGAGGCATTTGTATTATCTGCGTTTGGCACGCAGGCGAAATTTTAATTCCTCTTTTTTTGTCGCACTGCCATTTAGGGCATTCCTAATTCCGCAAATACCTTATCTGCCCAATTTATTTCCCGCCTTTGATGCGGCGCCGTCTTACCATTTAACTGCAAGTTTTTATCTTCCTCCAACATAGGATTGTTGCCATAACATCTTGCATCATTTATATGTAATCATATACATAAATCTATTCCTTATTATTTTGAAGTATCCTTAACATTTACTTCCCGTAGTTATTATACAACGTCTTAAGTTGTAATATAACATTAGCTTCAATTAAATTAGTATTGGTAAATATTACTAAATAAACTGCAGCAAATAAACGTTTTAGAACAAATTTAACAACTGTTTCGGTGTATTCGTGTCGTTAGCAGAGTTCAAGTAAACACATTTTAAGTAGACTATATACATTACTTTAAAACTACACTCTAATTTTCTGCGCTATACACTGAGTTTATTTGCAGTAAAGCGTTGCAATAAAATAATTTTATATTGAATTTGTTGATTTACAAAAGTATTTAGAGCAATTGTTGTATACATTTTAAAAGATTGTTTTTGTATTCTGGTTGCTGTTAGTACATGTTAGTAGAATAATTTGATTCAGCGAACCGGTAAAACTGTGGTGCATTAAGTAAATCATCCAAGAACGACAATGCGTCGCGACAGTTTGCAAGCAAGAGTTTTTGAATTATGTAAGCGTATTCTCGCGTTCGTCAACGTGTGTTTGAATGTGTGTGGTATGTTCTAAGCTGGTAGATGAATTGCTTTGGAAATGGGAAGCCCCGTTTCCGTTTCGAAAAGGCCTTAGGGTGTGCAGCCATTGTTTAATTATCCCTTTCATTCAGACCGAACGACCATTGTTTATAATCACGTGCAGCGCGCTTAATGGTCCTCGTGGGTTATTTATAAAATCCCGAGCTGAAGGACCCATCATACCTAATTACTCATTATATGACCCATTACAGAGGAGACGCATCTAGCAACTACTTAAGTATCGTTAAGGCGTCTTGATCTTTTTCCAGTTCTCGTAATGCGTTTCCAAAAAATCGAGGTTGATTTTGGTTTTTATTTGGACGATCTGCTTTTGTTGCTATTGTACGCGACCGGAATAATTGTGGTCAAGTCTCACCGTCTATTGTCTCCGGTTCGAAGTTCGGTGTCACGACTCCTCGAGAGATTACGTGATCCAGATAACCCCGAATGCTCGGCTCATAACCAGGTGAACTTTAGGTGTGGCGCCACAAAGGCACAGGACTCGCCGTTGTTGCGCCTCGGGCCGATCAAAATCTTTGCGGTCTTAATAAATCGAAATCGCAGTGTCTGCATTTTCCTTCTGCAATTGCCTGCATTCGATAATTATTTGCATACGTTTCGCGTTTCATTCTTGCTCGCTCTCTCGATTGCTTTCCCGGAGGTTTAACGCAACGGCACGTTTCGTCGTAAGCTTTTCTCGGTATTTGCAGCCGCATTTTATTTACCCCACTTTATTGTCGAACGAGAAAATAAATATGATTTACAAATCAACAATCGAATAAACAAAATTCGCCGTGCCTTGTACATTCTGTCTTGTGGGAACTACTCTTTTGTTTAACCAGTTTTCTGCTAACACCTAACGTGACCCTGACTTAGTTCATACAATTAGACGTTCCGTGCTAATTCCGTAATAATTTTTTAGCACAAACAATGAACTTATAATGGAAAATTACTTAATCATACTTATATATCTTGCTGAAAATTTTCGGAAAATCGGAAAAATAAATTTCAAAAATTTTACTCTACAAATATTTTTTATTTTCATTATAAAACTAAATCACATTTAATAAAAATAAATATATTGTACATTTTACAAGTAAAACATGTTATTGCCATCAAGTTTACTGGAACATAAATAATTTTTTTTTAAATAATGGAAACAATTCGAGATTATGACAAACAAAATAAATGACGTACCTTAAAATAGTGTATTAATATGAAAATTAAAATTATTTTGTTCTTTTAGAAGTTTTCTTTTCAATGTCAACTGTTTTTCTTTTATTCCTCGAATCACTGGTATTTATGTTCTTAGACGCATCTTTGGAAGCTGAATTATTAAATATTATTATTATGATTAATTTAAATGAAATATATATAAACCTTGATTATTATTTTTTACAACCACTATTGGTGAGTCCAATTCAGAATCATTTCTGTCTGACATGTTTGACATGTTTTGGTTGTTTTCTTCTAGAGAATCTTCAAAAATGGGAGACGTGTTAGACACATAATCCTGCAGCTCGTTCAGGTGTATTTTGAAATCTTTAAACGCTAATCCTAGATGATCCAGGTTAGGATCGACGCAACCAACTAAACAAAAATGATGTTGTTAGGTTATAATTAGTATATATTAATTTTACTCTTACAGTGATTAGCGTAGTTCTTTGTTCTTTCAGCTAAAGCGTTTAAGTTTACTTCAAGAATGTCGGTGAGGTATTCCAAAGCATCACTTTTACTGGTATCCCAACCCACGGTTTGCAATAACTTTGCCACAGCTACTTTCAGCATATCCCTGGAATATTGCGCAGTCATCTTCTGAATAACTATGTGCTGTATGTAAATAGAAAAATATAATAATAAAAGCGTATCCTTTTATTGTTTCAGTTATTTTAATGGCTCAATTAATAGACGGCTTTTCTATTTGCTCGTGCATATATGGAATATGACTCGCTTTGTATCTATTAGCTAATTGGAAGCAATCTGAGAAGAATTTTAAAAAACGCGCAATTCTTAGAACACCCAACCCAAGAGGTTCTGTAAATAGCAAATCATAAATGTTTCGCAGTTGCGCTTACGAACCTTGAATTGATTTAGTAAACAAATGGTAATACTCTATGAATATCATCAGTTTTACCAAGTAATTATCAAGTAAAAAAGTACATGCAATTGTACAAGTAAATATGAGTAGATCTATTTTCCTGTATGCGTTTCTTGCTTTTATTAGAATATACTAGAAATCATACAATTTGTAATTAAAAATACTTCAATTAATACAACTATTGTTTTGATTTAATGCAACAAAAAAATATCACTGTAAAACATTTCACCCCATTCAGATTTTGTGAAGACATGTTTACATATATAATGTATTCTTATATAATTTTTATTTGAATGTCGTTGATGATTTATGAGCGTCATCGTTCGTATCTGCTGGGATTCGCATGCAGCGTGGAAGTTTTATCAAGTCCCTCCTGGTACGACTAACCCAAATCCCATATCGTATTGATCCCTAATTATGCCAAATAATCAAGCCCGGAATTTTCCGAATTGATGCATAATATACCATCTACGTGCTGCCCGTAAAAATCAAGAACGTTATTGCTGTCACGACATCCGTTTTCCACCAATAAACGAAATCTATTTTGATACTTTCAAAACAAAAAAATATGTTACATGTTATGTTGCAATTACATAGATTTCGCATGATCCAAACATTCATTTAAAAAAAAAAACAGAATATTTCAATCCATGGATTTTTGAACTAACTACAATATTTTTTTTTATTTAACGTTATTTTTATTTACAATCTATTTTATAAGAAAAGCGTGCTACTTGCTAGCAAAGTTTATTTAAAATTAAACATTATATTATGTAACTTGATATAAAAAAATACTTTTTTTTGAGAAAATTGTTTAGAAATCAATTTTTATGACTATAATTCGTGAAGACTTTTTTTTCGAAAAATTAATTTTTTATTTGTTGAGATAATTCAAATCTAATTTGTTGAGGAATATTTACAAATAAATAAATTCACTGTCTAATTAAATAATTTGATTGTTAAACTGGATTATTAAATGGTTAATACATTGAAAAATACACATAATATGTGTACACAAGTTTTAAAAATGATGTAGCAGGCGAGCAATCCGGGACTTCTCTTCTCATCGTCACTCGTTAAGCGAGTCATTTTTCTTACAATTTATTTTGCTCGTTAATTATGCGAGGTGCTCGTTAAATGAGGTTCCACTGTACTTGATAAGTTACAAATTCCGAATTGTTATTCGAAAACTCATTATACTTGATAATTATTATTTGTACAAAGATCTTGATATTATTGTATTATCAAAACTTGTATCTGTGAATATCCGTTGTTCTGTTGTTTTTGCGAAGCATATAGAAAAGAAATACAGCAGATGAAGATCCAACAATGCAAAAAACCGACGATCATCCTGTCAAAACGGAACAGGTGGTGTTGCGCTTCTCTCAAGAATCCCATGGCAATTACGCCATTAGAATTCTTAATTCCAGCAAAAAAAAAAGGCGGAGGAAGCGGCATCCGACAGAGGTGTCTGCTTCGCGTGTCTAAACTAATGGAAACTCCGCATGATTGAATTAAATTCGTCTTAGATCTAGTTCTTGTCTAAATAGGTAAATACTCTACGCCAAAGAGGAAATAATTAAAAGGCATTTAGCCGAACTGCAATTTGCACTCGTTAGATCATCGGTTGCGCAATTCAATTTTGATACGATGGAAACTTCGGTCGATTTTCTTGACATTATTATTTCTTGCGTTTTATTTTCCTCGAGATTCAAATTATTATATCCGAGTAATTTCCATTAAATCGCGAGACTTTTACCTGCAGCTAGCGTGTTCCTAATATGCAACGTCGAGAAGAAACCCGATGGCACGAGCGAACAGTAAAACTCCAATAAAAGATCAAGCGGCAGCAGGAGAAAAAAAAGAAAGATAGAAAAAGAAACAGTGAAATAATCGTTATTACCTATCGAATCCTTCGACTGGACATATATGGAATATAAGACGCGGAAATCTCTCCACAATTAACTAATCATTCGGTTTCTTTCTTTGGCTCGAAACTCGTTTATGCTATTCAAGTTAGAGTGTGTGCTCTTTTTTTTTTGTATTATTTTCGGGGTTATGAAATTGTTAATAGTTTGATCAATTTTGATCTATATGATCTTCGTTTATTTTTCTTTTCAAGCTCGTTATTGTTTATTCGTGGTTTCCGCACGCGATTCCACAATAACGTTTATTTATTATATTTATATTCTCATCCTTTCAATTCTGCAACGTTCTCATAATACTTGCATATATTCGCGTGTTTAGTCAATATTGAATAGCATTATGTATTTTTAGTAAATAGATTTAACAAAGTCAATTATTACAATCCTAGTAGCAAGGATGTATTATTTCAAACTATATTCTCATAAACTAGGTTAGTTTTTCAGAAAATGTGTGTTTTCATATTTACAGTGAATTATTCATAATAATTCAAAAGTTATTCATCAACATACCATATGTTTGCAATATTTTTTTAATTTTCTGTATATAATAGTTAATAACATGTATTATTAAGTTCAGTATTTACTGTTCTTCAACAATTGAAGGTTAGTTGTATATTAGCAAATGTAAGATACGATAGTTGAGCTAAATATATGATATTATTGAAAGGTACATAAACTTTATATTATATGTTATTAAAAAAATAAGTTATACTCACAAAGTTGACGAATTCACTTTTACTAAATCTTTTAACTTGTATCTAGATGGCGCCACCTATTAGACATATGTCATATTCAACCTTTTATACTTTTTTTTATCCTCAATTTACAACAAAACTAATTTTAAAATATTAGTTTGTATCACGAAAATCTGATACGATAGGTCGTATAATATAATTTCATAGAACAAATTTTTAAATCCATATTATGTCGGGGAAATAATTAAGTGAGACATGGCGACAACATTTTTTTGCGCTTATTTTAAATTCCTCCGAGCGTGCATGGGGTCGTATATTTCTTCCGATAGATCTCTTCCATCCTTTTCAAACGTGTTCGACAAAGAAGTCCCCATGCTATGATACATGGCCAGAAAAAAGAGGAACATATACAAACAGTTTGTGCTGCGTTTTGTTTACACTGCATTCCGGCGGTACCATAATTTATCTTTCAGACAGATATAAGTCAAATTTAAAGGTCTTGAAATTCCATTTCTCATATTATGTTATGTAACGCGATCTAAAATTGATGAAAATTTTCTTTCGAACTAAAAATTTCTAGATCAAAAGGTTTAACAATCTCTGAAATTAGCATTCTTAATATTGCTTAATCTGTATACTATTTATATATTAAGTTTTTGAAATAAGTTACTGAAATGTTCAATTAAAAAAACCTTCCGGTATTATATAAACATGAGGAAGTTAGTTTTCGCATAGCTTTATACGCAGTCACTTCCCATGGAAACGGAAGCAATCCAGACTTCCCTTACTCACCTTTTACCAGCATTGAGAAAAAAAAGTAACATAAAAATAGTAAATAAAAATGAAAAGAACCTTATTTATTGATGTAATTACTTAAATTCTCGAGGTAAAATACTGCGGTTTTCATTGCATAGAGCGTAATAATAAATTTAATAATACGAAGTCCGTATTTGGTAACTCATACCCAGACTGGTTTATTGCCTGTTGTTTCATATGTGATTTTTATTTAAAGCCACAAACACGAAAACGTATTAGCTTCGATTTTTGATTATATCATCACATTCATGCGCTCGACAAAAGTTTCTCATATAAATCATTATGTTTGTTTCTGTCATTACATTTTTTTTTAATAGTAAATCACGCTGCGTTACATTATTACGATTAATTGGCAATTGCGAGACGCATTATCGAATTCCAATACGTAAAAAGGAAGGAGTGCAAAAAAAAAAACAATGGCACAATGTAATAATTATTTGTTGTTTCTTATTGAAGTTCAATTTACGGAGAAAGTAAAAATGTAATTTATTTGCGAGCGGAAATTGTATTGCAATGAACGTGAAATTACTTTATGCGTGTCTTACAAACACGCATTGAATTATGTGGTTAACGTTGAAGATCACATAATGTTATTTGTAAAAAGTATGTTTTAATATTTGAATGATTTATGTAATTAGATTTTTAGATGGTAACGCATATTCATAATTTGGACACACATTGTTGTGTAAGAGTAAACCAGTTTGGTTACAATAAAAATAGAACAAACTCGTGTCAGATTAGTAGATAGTTTTACATACATTGCTATTGTGACCATTTGGATGAAAATGGATGGTTTTAGAAACTTTTGAGATTTAGTCTAGTTTAATAAGTGATGTCCAAATGATCTTTGATTAACTGCAATGCTGTCGTCTATAAGGAAATTACATGTTAAATCTAAATATCCGATCGCTGCGAGCCTCGAAATCGTGTAATACATTCATGCATCTTGTCGGGTTAACATCGAGAAGAACGGAAGTAAATAAAGTAAAGAGAAGTAAACGCGTTTCATGAATAGGACAATTTATGGAAAACGAACACGCCAGTCTAGTAATAATAAATTATAATTATGTCTTTTAAGAAAGCATTAAGCTAAGCGAAGCATTGCGCACTTCGGACTGTTCTTGTTGGACAATTCTGTTCTTAAAATCATTAAACGTGAGACACGCGACTTCTTGTATTTCGGTCTCAGGTTTTTCATCCAGACGCAAGTATCGGGCGCATTTCCATCGTCGCTTGCACCGGATAGTTGGAAGCTCTCCGAGTCTGGTCTTCCTTCCTTCCTATGCTTGTTCTTCGGTTGGTGGCTGCGGGCGAAGCACGACGAGAGCAGAACCACAAGAACGAAGAACATCTGGACAGTTTCAAAAGCGAAAGCACGTAATGATAATGCGCCAGCAGACGATCGTAAAGTCCCTTGTTTGAATAAGTCACGAAAACAAACCGGAGACAGGTCCGTCGCATTTTTCGTTCCACATATTCCATGACGAAGTCCGCATTATAAAGGGGAACCCATGGACCGGAAAGTTCATAACACGATCCGCATTTTGGCTTTATTGTTAATTGGAAGATATGTCCTAGCGTAAGTAACAAACGTACATTTTCAATTGGTGAAAATGCGTTAAGTTCTTAATGCACCATTTGCATTTTATTGATGGTATTTCCTCAAGTGAAATTTTTATCGTTTAATGTGTATATTGCATAATTTATGTGCTGTGATTGCAGGAAGCAATTCATTGATGATTTCCTCAAGGAACTAATTATCAGTCATAAAGCAGCCACTTTAAACTTTTATTAATGTAAGATATTACTATAAAGAAATTACAACATTATAAATTCAATTAACAAGACTTGTATCTCAAATAATTCAAGTTATAAATTTTCATATTACACATAAATAAATTGGTTATTACATTATACATTTATTTGAACTTGTTTCTAATTATAAAAATAAGTTTTTATTGCAAATAGTATTATTTTTGTAAAAATGTAAATCAGAATTAGTTTTTTGAACTTTATTTTTCTTCCGTGAAATGTTAATGACTTAATTGTTACATTTAATAAAATACAAAATGTATGTGAAATATTGAGATTCGAGATATTAATTTCGTGATTACTTCTTTTGGTCAATGCATGCTTTCTAATTTTATATAATTTCCCTATTAAATAATTAATCGGTAGTTACGAAACGTTGCGTCTGATGCATAAACATCCCGTAATAGGAAGAATGGGAAATCTGGCATCGTGGATTGTTTGGTTGGAATTTCTGTATGAACCACTGCCCAGATGAATAGAATAGAAAAGTGTGTGTGTTGGAGGAGAGGTTGTGCTTGAGGTCTCGTTGCAGGGATTTGACCTCGTAAGTCTTGAAACAGTCGGGTCAATTAGTTCGATTGTGTTATCGTTAATAACACGATTTCGTAATGCCCGAGTGCATTTATCAATTTCTATGAGGTGAGACGCAATATAGATTGGATGGAGTAGTATGAACCATGGGTAATCTGTTATGAGAAGGGTTCGATGAATTCCCGCACGAAGATTGCGGGTGGAGGAGGACGATTTCTACGGTACTAACGGTAATATTGTCGTGGTGTGACCATGTCACCCATTACCTATTATCTACGCAAAAACTGGAACAAACGGATTACACGCGTTCCTCTCGATGGAAAGTTCTGTAAGGAATCTCGCATCAATTAACGTGCACGACGAGCGCATGCAAATGGAAACTTCATCGGCCCACGCCCGTTGTAATTACTCCGGATGGATTTTCCTAGCATTATGCAAATAGAAAGCAGATTCTCCTCTCTCACCAATCTCCGGATGAGGAAGTTGAGGAGGTTCTCCATCCTCGGAAGTCAGGAGGTTAATTGAAATGCTATCAAGAGATATCTTGCATCCACTCGAGGCAACCACACATAAACAAAACCCGATCTCTCAAGTTCAAGTGAGCCCCCGTGCCCTTGTAATTAAGCTACGAACAAATCGGGGACTTTTCATCTATATTTAGTGCGACTTTGTCATGGCAAGTGCACAGCAAACACGCGGTAATGGATTTCTCTCTCTTTCTGTATGCGTATATTTTGGTCTGCATCTCGGGACGAGAGAAGAGAGCGCTGCTTTTATTTCCCCCTTTTTTTTAATAAGTAAACAGAAGCCGCGCACAAGAAGAAACATGATGGAGCACCGGGTATATAATTAACTTATTTATTTATACGTGTGTTTCCTTCATTGGAAATAAAAAAAATCGTGGTAGACGTCCACTCTCCCTCCTTGTTTTTGTTTCAATCAAACTGCATTTTCCCTCGTTTGTCGGCTGCACTAATTTTCATTTTGACACCGCCCATGTGCTTTTGGAAGGACGGACCAGGCAGGCAATTGCAAACATCTGGGATTGTGTAAAAATGCACAAAGAAAAACTGGACGATTTTTGGTAACGAATGCCTTAATCAGTGCACAAGACATGGCTTTTCATTTCACAGCGGATGCACCGAGATGAAACTGCTTCTGTCTGCCACTTATTATTGGCACGAGCGAGATTTCTTTTTCATATTTTTTTATTCTTTTATTGAAATCAAAGAGACACTCGATGTTTGTCTTGGCTTCGGTGGTTTGTGTGTTACAATTATTCCGTTTCCGTTTCTTTGTACTAATTTACTTCACATTGCTTCATTGCCTACCAAGCTTACGCCTTCATTATTTGCATGTAATTTCACTAGTTTCTAATTAATACAACTGAATAAAGCCTTCTTCATTTTCGTTTCTTCAATAAATGATAGCAGAATATAAATCATACCCACAAGAACAACTTTCAACAATCCAATTTAAACAACATAAATTCTACTTTATTATTCATGATTTAAGCAATAAAGTAAAAGTAATCTAATAATTCGTTGTCATAGTTTTTGCTAATAAGTTATATACACTAACATTACTCTTAGTTAAACATATACTATTTTTTTCTACTTTCTTTGATATAATTATACACAATTAGATATTATTGATGCATAAAATCATGTTCTGAAAAACAATCAACTTCGAAATGACTTAATATGTAGTTATTTACATTGATTAATAATATATTATTCGCTAATTAAATTATATGCTTAGTTCATTATATCCAACTAGATTATAACAGATTTTTATTATTATTATTATAGTCAAGAAAGCGAGCGAATTCCAACTTTCTTTAATTACAGTTGTTACAACACCTCCGATGTTTTGCTCAAAAGGTTTTATTGTAAGCTTACGAACATAAATCATAAAAGATCTACAGCGATGAGTGGCATATAATGACAGCATAAAGAAATGGAAGTATCGAAGTAAGGAGAATTTCCAAGCCTTTGTGAAGCAATAGCTTTCATTCATTTTTATGGTTCCTCAAGTGTGAATATCCGAGATATTTAGGTTCATAAAAAAATGTCGATAAGATCCATGTTGTCTTTCGAAGAAATATTACATTTTTATCAGTCACTAAATTTTCGGAAAGCACGATAAATATTTCGTTATATAAATTTAATAAAGTATGCTCTTCTATTCATTGGTAAGAGGACTAGGTCAACATATCTTCTAATGAGCTTTTCATTATGTACCAACGCGGCCGTGACTAATTTAATTAAAACTAACTGTTTCGCTGCTGCTCCTGCGTCGAAACTTAACATTGAAAAAAAAAAAATGCTCTGATCAATGGTAAACCGCTTATCGTCAACTAGATAGAAGACTGTTCGGTAGTTAAATGGGATGATGCATTGAGCGCAACGAAACAAATTAATAAACGAAAGAATGGGACTAGACGAGACGTCGTTAGACGGAGAAATTAGAATAGGGATTCGTAATTGCCAAGTCATAATGGCCGGGGAGGAACACACTCAAGTTGATTAGTTATCCGAAGGCCGTGCCCTTTTGGCACGGTAAATACATCCGGCATTGGATCCCCGACGCGACGTGAGCTTAATGCACAAAACTGCTGCACAGAATGATGCCTCCTCGTATGAATAAGAATACGGGATTAAAAATGTACATTGCAAACATCACTGTAAAATGCGTAATTGTTTAAATCTTAAGCAATGGAATCCTCTAATTAGCATGAATCATGTCTGTCGTTTTCATTGTCGCGCATTTGTTTGGTTTGTGTATAAATTTACTTCTTGGCGACGGGCTTGGAAGCACATTCTTCTTCGGTTGCTTCGGTTTGCTGGGGCCGGTCTTGAACTTGCCTGGGAGCGGTTTTCCTCGAGGTGTCCGATTTAAATAATAATAAAAAGAAGCATTCACCAACTGAATCTTTCTTTATCTACTAATTTCATAACTTTAAGTTTTTATAGAGAAATTAATAAGTATTGAACGATAAAGGATTCTCTTTTTTTATTGTACTTTACATTACAATATCAATGTAAAATAGAATTATCTATTTTTTTTTTCAATAATTTTTAACTGGTGTCCATTTTATAATAAAAAAAAACTGTAATTATTTAATATTTTAATAATATTAAACTGTTGTTGGTAGTAATAAAATTAGAATATATCACTTATTTATAATATGAAATTGAGGGAAATTTTGTAATTTTGCTACTGCAACTACTATAAAATAAGCAACATTGTTTTAGATTGTTCTAATTAAGCTGTTAATGATTACGTGCGCTATTTCGTTCATCGCAGTCCGTTGTGGTCGATTAACTTTTTTGTATCCAGTTCCCGGTCCATAAACTCGTGTTTCCATATACCCGATGCGCGTCGAGAAAATGGATTTCCCACATTTAGCGTGCAGCCTCACCTCCTCACCCATAGTCCATTGACATTGCAATTTATAATTACTTAATACACAGGTAGCAACTAGTGTGTATGTTTGTGTGTGTCTGCAGACTTCTTAGGCGTTTTTTATTCTTCTGTACAATATATATTGAAATGCAACGTGCGGAAAATGTGTTTGCAAATGCAGCACACACGCAGCGCGGAGCCATTCTCACGGTGCGCTCTGCGTTTTTATTCCTTTTTAATGTCGACTTCTTCTTTCGCGCCGGAATGCATTTAAAAGAAAGAATCAACGCGAACGCACAAATTTCATCTCGCTCCGATGATTTCCAATATGTACGTACGTATGTACAGAGACCACCGTCTCTAACGAATGCCGCACAATGTGCATCGTTTTAATGAGGCAAATGAGAAAGGAAATTGTTGTACGTTATCCCGAGATATCTATATAAGGATATGGAGGATAGGTATTTAGATAGCGGAAGAGGAGAGACAGACGTACGTTGTTTGCGGCGTAATGAAAAGAAGGATCGCGGATGGTATAAGATTTTATGTGTGCGGTAGAAAGCAGAATAAATTGCGATCATGACGGTTTTGATAAAGTTGTTCCCTCTTTTGTTTCGCAGCCATAGACTATGTGACCAGAGACAACTTCCTGTCCGAGCTAGATAACGGGGTCGTCCTTTGCCATTTGGCACAAGTGATTCAAGATAGAGCGCGCACCGCCATCGAGACTGGGAGATCCAAGGGGGTGAGTTAAAACTTTCCAGACTTGCACTTGAAATCGATGATGCCGCATACTGATATATGCGGCTGCAGCCGGAAGGGGTGAATCGCCAGACTGAGAGAAAATGCAATGAATTATTTTGTAGCCGCCGCCGACGATTCGCGGGAAATGCTTCGAAAAGGCAATGCGACGCAGCTTCTTCTCTAGAGACAACATGGAGAATTTTATTAAATTCTGCAGAGCTCTCGGAGTCCACGAGAATTTGCTTTTCGAAAGCGATGATCTAGGTATGCTTTTATATCTATCTTCCGCATCATAAGCAATTATTAATACGTTTTTTTTTTAGTTCTTCACAACCAACCACGGAATGTTATCCTATGCCTTCTAGAAGTGGCTCGTATAGCGACTCGCTACGATGTGGAACCTCCGGGCTTGGTGCAACTGGAGAAGGAGATTGCCGAGGAGGAACGCAATCAGTCTGCAGATTCGGGTCTAGGCTCCATACTTTCATGGCAATTCCAGGCTTCTCCCAACAAACACGAACAGGAGAACAACAAAATGAGAACCAGCTTGTAAATACAACATCAAATAATCGTCAAGAACCGAATTGATTTCTTTTTCTATTGCAGCTCCGCGTCTGCCATTTCTTCATATGCTCGCTGGAACACCGGACCGCAAATGGTCTTAATTCCAGATTCCGGCGCCGCAGGTGATCATAAACACATTTCTGTACCGCCGAGCGGCGCAAGTGATGGGGTGCCCAGCGACAACACGGAAGATGAATGGTCCAGAGGAAGCGGAGAAGATCCCGATCTGGAGATTCAACCGGAAATCCGAAGAGGACCGACCGGGGATGCATTGACAGAGCTGGACAGGAAAGTGCAGCATGCCACCAGGTTGATGCAGAAAAATTGCAACTGTTCGAATGGAAAATGTTCCAAATTATCGGTGAAAAAAGTCGGCGAGGGTAGATACAACATTGCCGGTAAAAACGTTTTTATAAGGGTAAGGATCCATAATCTTTCAAAATTGTTTATTAATATACCGAATTTTTAGTTGCTGAAAGGCCGACATATGATGGTCCGAGTTGGGGGCGGTTGGGACACCCTGGATCATTTCTTGCTACGCCATGATCCTTGCCAGGTGAAAGTCGTGTCTCGGGAGAAAATCGCAAAAGATTTACCTGTGACACCTACGAGTGGGCCAAAGTTTTTGCACATTCGCGCGAAATACCGTAGTTAGGCTCACGAACAGATACGAAAGACAGAAAAAAAGAAGCAAAACATATTTTTATACACCGATCCAAAACGCAATAACTTTTAAGTTTTACGAACGAGAAACGTATTTATTTCTTCGAATAATCGCTTTGTTAAGTTGTACATTTATTTAATTTTTACCTTAAAGTTCAAATATATAATATTAGTTTTTAAGATTTATTTCGTAGTGTAGCATCTACACTAATATATCAGTAGTCACTAATTTTTTTTATTACTATATGATTTGTATATATTTTTATACATTTGAATATATAAAACGATACAACACACCTAGTTTTCGTCTTTCACTTTATTTAGACTCACCTTAGAGCGCTTCTTGCAGGTAATCGAAATGTGTTTTTTTAATGACAATCTTTTCAGGAACACGAAAAAGAAATAAAACCAAAGGTGCCGTCGAGGAAACCGATAAAAACTCCTGTGAGCAAAAAGTTTGCTAAGAAGTTCACGTATTACAGCAGGTTTGCAAAGTTAACACGTCCAGGGGAGACCAGGGTTTAGAGCATACCACACAAACGCAAATAAATATTTATTTATAAAATTTAAAATATATTGAAATACAATGGATAATAATAATACATTATTCTTTGTTATAAACTAGGAAGACAAAGTGTGCTTAATCGAGACGCTTGCGGATCATCCTCGATAGAAAATTATTGGATAGATCATTTATATAATACAGCTATTTTGCGACAGAGGCAAATTAGAGATTCGTGTTTCTCTATCAAGGATAAACAGAGAAAAAAAGAGGAAACATACCAAGTGCACCTAAACTACATTCAGCACAGTTATGCTACACTTTAAGCGAAATGCAAGTACTTACCAATGCCTTCCAAGTGGTTAAATTAGAAATAAAAATTTGTTGTATAAAATAAGTGCTTAAATACGATTCTTATTTTATTTTATATATATATATAAATCTAAGTCGCTAGATTACTTTTTCTTTTTACCTAAAGTCAAAGTATGGTGACTATTTCCCATTTGCGTGTATTGGGTTTTGCGCCTGTTATATTCAATAATTTCGTCCTCAAGCTTCTTACGATTCTCATCGATTTTCTTCTTCTCCTCCGTGTGGTCTTTCTTCAGCTTATCGAACTTGGCGTGTAACTGAAAATAATATGTAAATAAATAAATAAATTAAATCTAGTTCGTGTAACATACATCTTTCTCTGCTTCCTTCAATTCCGCTTCCTTTTCCTTCACACGAACTACAAACATCTGTCTCATCTCGTCTTCCTTTTGTTGCAACTCCTGCAAATGGTTAGAACGTTTCGTTTCGAAAGTTTGCTGGAAACTTATCGGTTTGTTATCAGCATCGACATCGCTGAAGCCCATCTGCTCCAACCTCTTCTTCCTGTACAGCTCATAATGACGGCAGTGCGTCTTCTCCCGCATATCCTCCATATTCGTTCTGATCAACATCTCTCGCAATTTCACGAAATCGCAATGCGCTTCGTTCTCCACTTGCACCGTGCCCCACGGATATTGCCTGGCTCTCACCATTTTATTGCCGACCCTCATAAAGTCCGTGCTTCCAACGACAGCGAAAGGTGTGTGGCTGTTCATCGTCGAGTTCACCTCCGACACGGTTTCATCGTCCACCGGGAACTCATAAATATGCACACCGTTATTCTCCAGTTCAGCTACAATCTTAGATTTGAACTTCTGCAGCTCGGTCTTTGAGATTGTATCTGCTTTGGCGATTATGGGAACGATGTTCACTTTTTGGTCCAACTTCTTCATGCATACCAGATCGATGGACTTCAGACCGTGACCTGTGGGACAAATGAAGTAAAGGCAGGCGTGGATCCTGTTGTCATTATGCGAAGACAGAGAGCGCTTGATCTTCAACTCTTCCTGGAGGAAATTCTCAAACTGAGAGTCGATATAGTCTACCACGCTCTTGAAACTATCTTCTTTGTTAATCTGATCACCGTATCCAACAGTATCAACAATCGTTAACTTCAACCTAACGCTGCTTTCTTGCAATTCATAGGTGTGAGCTTTCAATTTCACAGAAGGCAGGGAATGTGGACTTGGTGAAGACTCGAAGTTTGTGTTGAATAGAGAATCCATGAGTGTGGATTTTCCAAGACCAGTTTCTCCTATTATTTAAAAAATAAATATCATGAACACTCATTATAAAATATTTCTTTCCAAATTTGGAAATACAGCTACAAATTATTAAACCATAAAAATATTATTCAAATGCTTTAAACTCAATATACTAAGTCAACAATTAATATTAGACTAAAATTTGACCTAAACAAATATATTTTTGGATAATGTTTGTTTAGGCCCAATATCTTTAAAGTATTTAATTTTTATTTTTGCACAGCTCTCTATGTAACATAGTAAATGCTACAAATGAAGTAAAATATACTAATGTTAAGATATAGCAAGGAATAATGTCTATCAATATTCTATTATTTACATCATTAATCAAGAAAATATATAAAACTATTGAATATGAGTCACCAAATTATCAGTTACAAAAACAGTACTTACCAATACACATAATATTGAATACGAATCCATTCTGGACACTCTTCGAAACTAATTGATCAGGTAGGCTATCAAAGCCAACATGGCCTGATAATTTCAACTGCCTTAACTGTTCCTCCATCTAGAAAGAAAGAAGACTGATGAGTAAAAATTGGCACAAAACTTAACACTGCACAGGTAAATGTTTTAATGCAATGTGAACCACTAAACTATTCATTAACAATATGTATTACAAATTACTGTAACAAATGCCGTTTACCATATATAAACAAATAAAACTAGAACACTGTGTGCAACGATGCCAACGCCCTGATTAAAGTAAGGATTCTATGCAGAATTTCTTAAGCCCGAATGTTTCTGTTTATTGTACTTCGAGCGACAAATAAACAACAATTACCATAACATAATATTCTATGTGTATGAAAAAGCCTTCACGAAATACAAACAAAAATACTTACCGGAGTCTTCTCAACATCAACACCGCCAGCCATTTTTGTAAACAACTACTGAATGACCCGCTTCTTATCTATGCAACTTATACCTCACTATCGTAGTACGTTTATCTGCACGTAGGTGTCGCTTATCGAGTTGCATGGAGTTATTCACTAATTGATTATTTATATCAATGTAATTGTTTAACAAATGATTTCGCATTCTAACCATAATCGTAATGCGTTTTATATATTCAGATAATATAAATTTTCATTTGTGATTAGATTCAATTAAGTATATAAAGTTTTAATGAAATATTTATACAAGGTAGAAAGTGTAATCTTTTGGTAAGCTCTTTAGACCAAAATATATATAATTTTAATTTATTCTAATTAAAAAATAACACATTTCAAAAAGGTGTTGTATTAGCAGTTTTAACAAGAGAGGTAAATCTTTACGGTTATAATGAGATTTGAAAGTTTATTGATACCTCAAAAAAAAAATTACTTAGAACATTGATAATTTCATGAACATTTTCAAGAAATATCATATATAGGTAATTATGAATAGTTTTTTTTTTTAATAACTATTAATTTAAAGTAATCTTTAATACATATAACAAATTCTGTTGATTTTTGTAAAATCTTCAAATTAGTAGATGGCTTTAATTGATTATTTGATCGTAGTTTTTTTACTTAATTTATTACATTTATTAAGAAACGGTATTTTAGGAAATTGATAGTAAGTTTATCTTGCCATATCATGTTTACCATTGCCTTATCTTAAAATCACGTGACCACGTATACATTATATATATAACATGTGATATAATGTCAATAGGAAGGTTGTCAAGAATACTATTAAACATGGAGAACCTCACGAAAGCGTCGTTAACCGCTTTGAAAGAATCAAAATACGTTAAACCATTAACATTATCCTTCGAACAAAATGGTACTCAGAGAACATGGGACTTCCTGGAAGTCCACGATAGTGTTGCCATCATCATATACAACGTGAGTAACAGCAAATTGGTGTTCGTGAAGCAGTTCAGGCCACCAGTTTATGTTATGAGTATACCTGCAAGTGAACGTACAGATAACATCGATGTTAAAAAGTACCCAGCCCATTTGGGTTTCACCCTCGAGCTTTGCGCTGGTATCGTTGATAAGAAGCTCAGTTTAGCGGAAATTGCGTCTGAAGAAATATTGGAGGAATGTGGTTATAAGGTTCATCACAACCAATTAGGTAATTTCTCACAGAACGTTATTCGTTTTTAGTTGCTGATATATTGATTTTTTTTTACAGAGAGGGTTTCTAGTTACAGGTCTGGTGTAGGAACCACTGGAAGTGAACAAACCTTGTATTACTGTGAAGTCACAGATGAGATGAAGGAGAATAAGGGTGGTGGAGTTGAAGATGAGATCATTGATGTGATTGAGATGTCTGTTCCAGAAATTAGAGAATTTATGAAGAAAGAACATATTTTGAGTCCACCAAGTTTTCTGTATGCCATGCAATGGTTCCTTGCCAATAAACAAGTTTAAACTTTAAGATTCTAGCATAAACGTTTTACTAAACTTAGCTTCAATCAGGGAGTTTTGTCTTAATTGTTCTAAAGATAAATCATTTTATTCCATTTGTAAGGACTATACTAAAATTAACTTATTATAATTCATAAACATATTTTCTGAACATTACAAATATTGTGTTGAAATATTTATAAATTGATTATGGATGTATAATTAGTTGAAAAGTTATATGTAATAAATCAATAAATATTTAGTTTTATCTTTAAAAAATACAATTATTCATTTTTGTATGTTATGGAAAGTAAGGAAATTAATACATCAAAACAGAAGATCCTATTTTGCTTTTTTTTATCTTTGATTCAATGGATACAGATTATATATTTCAAATATTAAGTATTCTTGTTGTCAGTAACAGTGTTTACTACAAATAAAACAGTAAAAAATATACTCTCTTAATTACTAAAAAAAAATTGGTTATATAACATTTCTAAACTTACAAGAACTACACTAAAATAAATAATTAGCTTACATAGCGAGTAATTTTCAACTTAAAAAACCAGTTAAGTAATAATATTTAAGAAATTGATAATAAAATCAGAGTGTATCACAAGAAAGTAACAACAGTTTCCAAACGTAACATAAAGAAAAATATCTTGTTTTTTTTTGTGTTTTCTTTTCATTTTTCAGCCATTATATGTACAGACAGACAGACAAAAATGGAACAAATTTTATAAGGGGGTCTCTTTATATTTACCCTGAATTATTTCCTAAATAATTAATGAAAATAACATAAGTATACATCATTAAAAGTTTAAAATAAATCGACTTATCCCAGTTTTTCGTCCCAGACTTTCATCCAATAACTTAGCCTCCCACGGTAATAATCAGCATCCTGCTCTGATCCTTCGCTCTGCTGGTCATTGTTAATCTTCACACCTTTACATAATTATACGTAAGTTTCGTCTTGCTGAAGCGGATTATAACTTAACACTTACTTGGTTTGATCTTAGAATCCGTCATGCGTTTGCGAGAAGTCTCGATCTCCTTCAAGTTTTTCTGAATGTACTCTTGGAAAAATTGGCTGGATTTTTTTAAGAATGGTTCTATGTCCGCTTCTGGATTTTGCTGCTGGAAATCGTACAGCTGGACTAACCCTTCGGTAGTCTCTTCTTTGCTTCCGATTTTCTGGAAAATTTCGGTTAATTGGGTGTGGGTGGAGCGCGATAACGACCTCCGACCGGAATCAGTCTTTAATGGTACAGCTTTTACTTCTTCGATTTTCAACGATTTAAGTAGTTTCAGCATGTACGTTTCCATTTCGGAGTCATTAGTATTCGGTACTTTAGTCAGATGGATCATAATGCTGGCACCTTTAATCTTTGCCATCGAGTGAATAACAGTTTTCACTGTACGCAATGGAGTGTCCACGGCCTTGGTCTTCCACCAAGCTGTTGGAAAGTCTTTGAGGAATAAATGCACCTCTAATAGAACACTGTCATAGTCTATTTCCGCGGCCCAGTTCGGTAGCAACTTGATAACTCTCCACAAGCATTTCATTACTAATTCAGTCAATCTCGGGGAACTACTGTTCTTAATGCATCCATATAAAAGTTGAACAAGACCACTGCAAATCGAACAATTATATTATTATGTAACAATGATTTAATAATAGACATACCAAAGGACTGTTGTATGATCAGATCTCTCAATAATCTTGACACAATTCAAATTGACAACTCTTATATAGGCATCTCCATTAGGACATTCCTCCAACTTACCATCAACCAACACAATGATAAATTGATTCAATACTTCTTTGAATACCGGTATGTTAACTTTAAGCCCCAAAGATTTGTTAACATAAAACTAAAAGAAAAATATTTTAATAATAAGAATTATAAAAATTATGTATACTTACGGAATCGATTACGGTTAAAATGCATCTATACATCTTCAACACGTGCGGATGAGCGCGCGGATCTAATGCAGCTAGCCTCTTTAATTGTACAACAATGGCATTCATAAATTTATCCTCATATTCGAGCATAATCGTGCTCTTAGACGATTGTAAAATTTCTTGAATTTGCTCGAGAGACTGAAATGTATATTTCAACCAATTAATATAATATTGTTTTTAAAACTTATTGAATTATACCTTGTTAACAATAGTATAGTCAGCAGCAGTTACTTGTGATATGGCTTTTTCTAAAAGTAATTCATCGCCGGTTTTTGATGTACTCGAGATGAAAGTATCTGATGGTAAAATTGGTTTGGGAGGAGACAAAGGCATTACTCTATAAAACATAGAAAATATTACATGTTGTTTAAAATTTAGTCAATTAGACTTACTTTGCTCTAGCGTCTTCGATAGTGGGCATCTTAATTGGTTCGTTAAGGAAGCCCAGGTCGAATTTCTGTAATTTAAGCTCCGGTAATTTATAAGACAATGAATCCAATTCCTTAATGTGGTCCGGATCTAAACGATAAGGTCCTGGAAGTTCTACGGGTTCAGGTTGGACCACTTGCGTTGGTAAACTAAACAAAAATGGTTCATAAATATGTAAGTTGAAATATAATTCATGTACGCACTTAATTCCAGGCAATTCTTCTTCATCCTCTTCTTCAATATCTTCTTCTCCATTGCCCATATCTTGTTCTGCGTTGCTGCTATTGCTTTTAGCTGGAGAGTTATGTTCTTTCACTGGTGACATATTAGTAATGCTGATTGGGTGAGTAGTGTCAAGTTTAGCTTTAACTGGAGGCGGTTTTTTGCTGGCTCTTTTGATCCTTTCCTCGAGCAATGACATATCTTTGTCTGAGATCTAGTCAATCAAAAGATTTAATATATTAGTATAAAATTGGATATAATTGTGTAATCACTTACATTTCCAACCATTTTGTAAACTTTATCGCCGACAATGTAATAAGCTTGGACGGCGAAATTGAGAGCGGCGTTTCTCACAGAATTATCCCTATCGGAAATTTGTTTTGCAATTTCCTTGAGACAAGCTGCAGGCGACGGAAGGCATACGCTTATTCCGTAATCTGGAATAATAGCTGCCATCGTGTCCAGACATTCCGCTCGCTGTCTGGCATTCTTCGACTTTACACCGTCCATCAGATAGGAAAAGATTTTGCTCATCGAATACACGACGCCAATCTGTTTCAATATTAGAGATTTCACACCATTTCTTACCGCATCTTTAGGATCACCAATCTTCAATATAAGGTACGGAATAAACGAGCTGGCTTCATTATCCAGTAGCTGATATTGATTTTCAATGAGCATGTTAAACACGGTGTGCAAGTACTCCAAACCTTTCAGCAAAACTGAAGGGTTCGTGTCGAAAAACCGCAGCGTGAGCCATTTGAGAATCAGATCCAAGTTAGATATAAGCGCCTGGCTATTCTCGTGGAGATCCTCAACCAACGATTCAATGGCTTTGATGTGGAATTTGAAGTCTGAGTGGAACATATTAGTGAGGAGAGTTTTGTTCACATTTGCTGTAGTCATCTGATCTTTAAGTAAATCTACAAACTCTTCTCTGGGTGTAGTGAAATTCCATTTCAGTACTTTCAATTTAGCCTCATCGATTGTTCGTTGATGCTTAAAATTGTTAACAGCTAATAGTGGAGACATGTCAACATCCTCTTCCTTCTTACGAGCCGGAGCCTTTTGTATAGTAGATGCCTGTATTTAAATTCCATTTAATTATAATAACAATTGTATTTTTGCACAAAATATAATTTACCCTAGGTTTTACGGCATTCTTATTAGTCGAGACTGGACGAGTTCCACGTACTGCTTTTTCTTCAGATATAACTTCCTTCTTTTTAGCCACTGGTTTAGCTGGTAAATTCGGTCTGGCCTTCTCCAACGCTGCCATAATGACCGTTTTTGAACCAGGTTTTAATTTCTCCAGTTGCTTTGCCATTGACTCGTAACCTACATGGATCATTATACCTAAAACAGCTTCATTTGCGTTCTTCCTGACGTCTGCATTTCTATCCTCCATATTTGAAAATAAATATGGAATGCAAATGACCATCTCTTCCTTGGGTACAGATTTGACTGAAATTGGTTTACAATGAAAATAAGTTAATTGAATGCAAAATACATACTTTTCGGTAGCTTTTCTGCGAGCCATGCCCACAACTCGCAACGTAAGGTCGGCGAACCGCCTTTTAGAGCATCGCCCACCATTTCACCTTCGAAGAAGTCTTTGTAGCCGCACTGATCACCAAATGCGTTCATACAATTAACGGAAGAGGATCTAATCCAAGCTTTTCCATCTCCTAAGCCTTGCAAAAATCCTGGAAACAATGTTCTTATGTGTTGTTTACAAGGGGGCCCCATCGATGTTGCAATGTTTTCGCAAATGGTCAATGCTATTTGGGCAATTTTGCTGTTACTGTCGACCAATCTCAAAGCGAGCGCTTGCGGAAGATCGCCAATATTCGGTTTTATTAGTTTTGCTTCAGTTAATATGTTCGAGACTTTAACGAGAGCTTCGTTTCGCACCTTCCAATTCTTGTCGGCCATTTCATTGATCAAAGCCTCAGAAATTTGCGAACTGATATCAACACGGGGCAATAAATCTTGCAAATTAACAACAGGAGCATCGCCTCCAGCTTCCTCATCTTCTTCGGCGTCCAACGAGTTCGAACTAGCTGATTTTACAATGCCTCTTGTCGGCGCCGGGGGTTTTTCATTTTCGTGTTTATCGAATTCTTGGTTTATTTGCTCACGAAGAGCAGGCTTTTCGTTCTCCAAGAACATGTGCAAATTTGGACCCATGTATAAATAGAGAACACCAAAGAACGTAATTGCCGAAGAACGCACGCTTGCATTATTAGAAGCGAGCGCCTTTTTAGCATTTTCAATTAAATATTTGGCATTCAAATTACTGAAATAACAAAATTATGTTTTAAATTATCTTAAATTGTGAATAGAAACTCACGTAAATCCAAACTCCTTGATTGCGTTTCCCATCCAACCAATAGCCTCTTGAAGAACTTTGGGACTTTTTTGAGTAAATGCAAAATCCATGACTAAACTTGAAACATGCGATAAACTCGTTGCTTCAGCAATAGCTGTAAGAGCATCTCCGGCTGACGTTCCATTCTTAGCATCTCCCAATTTTTCGGTGATTTCGTTGGTACAAAAACCAGCCGTTGTGCTTAAGAAATGAAAAAAAGTTATACTTCTGTTACAGCCAAGTGAGAAGTAAACTTACATTGAGAAGTTTCCATTTTCGGCGAGATATTTAACAACATCCAAACGTAACTTCAACACTTGGAAATTGGTATCTTTAAGGCCAGGTTTCTTACTGATCGTTTTAACCAATGCTTGCGTTGGCATGTTTGAAGATTCAAGTGTTTGTATTTGGCTCAAGAATTGTTCGACGGCGTTCAGTCTGTTCTTCCAATTAGCATCTGTTAAGCCCGATGTTATTTCTGCACTTAAAATGTCAGCTACGATTTCTGCTACTTCTTCATCAGACATTTCTCGTTCTACTGGTTTTGAAGGAGCTCTGTTGCTGGCCTTTCCACCCTTCGACTTTACGATTGTTGCAGTACCAGATGAAATTTCTCCAGAGGGTTTCTTTTTAGCAGCTGATGTTTAATAATCAAATAAGTTATTTCATATATACGTTAATACAAAGCATTGATGTTATGTAATAAAATAATGCTTACCAGTAGCAGGCCGCTTGGATTTGGCAGGCGCCGAAGATGCTTTTGGTGGTTCTGCTTTCGGTGCAGCTTTTGGTGGTGCTGTCACTGGTCGTTCTTTTTTAGCACCAGGTACCTTAACTACAATTACAGCTTTCTCAGCGCACTCCTTAATTTTCGACATCTTAAGTGCATCCTTTTCGAGCTCGATCAAAAACGGTCCGACTGCTTTTTCACCAACCAACTTCATCAGAGTACCTAATGCTTCTGCCGATGAATCTCTGACACCAGGATCTACAAATTATAATGCAATCCAATAAAACTATAAAATACGTCCTCCTTAATCAATCATAAATTTACCTGGCTCGTTAATTAACTTAATTAACGCCGTAGTAATTGCCTTCAATAACTTTTTGTTCAGAACGGCAGGAAGAGTTTTAGATAAAGATCTTGCCAAGAACAGAGCCGTTTCTGATTTCACGGATGGATTTTTATTCGTTAGAGCCTCAATTACATCTTCTAACACGTTTTCAAGAGTCGTCTAAAAGTGTCAACATATAAATGCATTAGAAAGACTGATACTATAATTATGAATGAAACCGAAATATTTACCGATAAATATACTGCATCTGCAGCATCACGCACGGAAGTAACAACATTTTGTTTCTTTTCCTTGAACTTCTCTAGTAAAGCGGGGATACAGGCGGAAGCATATGATTGGAAGCGCTTCTTTAATCCGCTGGCAATGTTAGCCATGCATCTGGCAGCCAGCGCCACAACAATAACATTGCTATCTTTTTGTATGATCTAAAAAAAGTATTATTAAAGTTATATGTCTTCAGTTTTGAACGTAAATTTAATACCTTCTTAACGGCCCTAATCATATCACCGTAATCTCCACTTTCCAGTTTCGGTGCCTTTAATAAGTTATCTAACGCCTCTAAAGCCTCTTTTCTCTCCTGCCATTTCTTAGCTTCCAATTTATCATAAAAGTCTTTGGGAAGTTTAGACAATATATCTACTGGATCCGCTATCTCATAAGGATCAATCACAACCTGGTCCTCTTCATCTTCTACATCCTCAGCAACGTCTATGGATGATTTGTAAATATTAAACTGTTTGAATTCTATAAATATAATAGTTACCATCGCATTCCTGTGCTTGTACAGCCAATTTAGCTTGTTTTTCTTGTTGAGATTTGATATATCTGGTTGGAACAGCTTTTTGGCCTTCCACCTTACTAAATTCAGCCTCTAATTCTGCCACTTGCACTGGCTGTAGATTTGTTAATTGAGATCTAAAAGCGCCTCCAATCCACCTGTACATCTCCACAACCATAAATCTGGCTTCATCTCTGACATTTTTATCCCTGTCAGCAAAGAGTACAGGTATTTTCTTCACCAATGGCTTAACTCCTATCACCTTGGAACCAAACTCCCTTAACCCTGTGGTGGCTGCATTCAAACAGGCTGCCACAATTTTAGGATTCTTCAGTTCCATTCCCTTGATAAGTTCTTCCACCACATTATCTTGCTTCTCAATCTCAATGTACATTAAGGTTACTTGCAGTGCAAGTTCCCGAGTTTTGGTTTTTGGTGCTGCAATGCACTTTGCAACAATGCCAGACATCACCTCTCCTACTGTCTTCCCAGCATGTACATAATTCTCCACAAAGGCCAGAGTTGCCTCCAGGCCCTTTTCCTGACCCATTGCATTGCTGTCAGTTACAAACTTTTTCACTAAGCCTAAGAATGAATAAAAAATATTTTTAGAAAATAAACATATAAATTAGTTTGTTTATTATGAATTTTACCTAAATATTTTGCAAATTCTGGTGACTTCTCATCATCAATTTGTCTGAATAGCTTTGTTACTTCTTCATATCCATTCACCCTGGCTTTCCATAACTTGTGCACACACCTCTCCTCAATCGGTAATTTCTTAAATTCATCATCCTCCATCTCTTACTGCTTAAAATAAGAAATTACTTCACTTTGAATCTTACAAAAACTAATTAATTGAACAAAGGTTAAAGGGGATTGAAATGCCAAAACTCATTAAGAACCTTGAGAGAATCTAAATGCAGCTATTCAACTAAAATAGATTTGCTGGAGAAAAAAAGGTGAAAGAAATTTCTGTTCAGTGCAAGATTCAAACTATTTTTATCTTATTTTGTTTAGATGCACTATTCTCATAACCTAAATAAATTTATAATCAAATTCAACCCTAGTTTATAACGCAATTAGATCACCATGTGGTCAATCTCACATATTAAATATGCACCAAGGTAATAATTTTGCTACAGCTAAGGTGTTGTACAAAAAAAAAACAAGATTATGAATCATCAACCATAAATGGAACATTGACATTAATGCATACAATCTAGATTACGGCCAGATGTAGACCCGGAGATGAGTGTTTTCCAATCGATTCGCGATTTCTCTTAAGAAACGACGAGGAAAAAACAAAATTTGAATTGAAAGGGGAAAAAAACAATTTCCAAAATGTCTGATTGGAACATTGTGGGTCAGGGTGGATACGATCTAGTACAATTCGATAATTCAAATAGGAATACAAACCGTGTAGTTCTCTGCAGCTCAGATAATGTTCATTCAACAAACAAATAAATAATTTATTATTCTCCAAAACTTAAAACACAACCACTAAACATCAACTGACATCAACACGGAATTTCACTGCAACGGTCATCTGTCAATTTTCAGCCAGATTGATTTTAATTCCTACCAATCCCCGCCAAGATGTCACAATCCAAACGTTTTTATTGGTCATATCTGTTGCAGCACGTAATGAAGATAGGCAACATTACTATTAACAGTTACAATTGTAATTGATTTCAAATCCTTATACTATTTACCAATGGAGTATAAGATTTGATATAAACTTAATACAATTGTTACTTAAAGTTATATAAAAAAAAACAATTTGATAATACTATAATTGGAACAATTGGATTAAACTTTTAAAACAACTATATTCTTTTTGATATAGTTCAATTTGAATACATTTGTTTATAGCTGGATATACTGGTTGCATACTTAACAAATTCTAAGCAATTTCTAATCATTTATACAATTGTAAGCCTTTTGGCCAGCCTATTAATATATATTTTTTTATTGTATGTTAAAATTTATTTATAAATTGTACTTTTTTTTCTCTTCTTTTTATGTATCAATGTTTGGTCAATTTTTATTATACAATTGTATATATTAAGAACTTTCTTTTTAATCTATCAACTTTAAGCTGTGGTGTTAAGATGTAACATTATAATACTTATTATAATAAATAGTATACTAAATTGGTAGAAATTCTTATTATACTTTCATCTGTATATAGAACTTATAAGTAAAATAAAATAATAATTTAAGAATATGAAAATTAACTTTTTACTTCAGCAAAAGAAAAGTGTACAGATATACATTGTATTTCACAAAATATCGTTTTACATAAATACTTATATCATTTTTCTCTTATGTCTTAGAAATAATATTTACTAATAAAAAAATAATAATACTTAATTACTAATTAAACCTAGGTAATCATCCATAAGAGTGCCAATTGCAAACTGAAATATACAAAATTATTAATGATACAGGAACTGTTAAATGTTAGAACTTACAATTCCTGTTGCATCCACCCTTGTACCAACAATCTTTAAACGAATTTCAGCATCGGCTGATATCACCATATCTTCCTCTTTTGTTTTGTAGCATTGTGGTGCTATGCTAGGGCAGTATTCCATCTCAGCGGGTATGGACTATAAGAAATATATAAATAATTGATTGAAAAATAAAAACATTTAATATTTACATGGTGAGAAATGAAACAAGAAAGTGGTCCAATTTCAGCGAAGATGCCAACTTTATTGACTTGTCGCACCACTGCATCCAGGACTTCTCCCTTGAACGGCCTAAATACAATTGCTTTGTATTTCACAGGGTATACAACAAATCCCTGTCCTGGTAATATGACTCCTGCTCCAATATTATCAATTGTTGTTACAGCAATTACAAATCCATATCTAAAATGGTACAATTTAATAAGAATTTGAGAAGTAGCATCTACAAACTCACTTTCCAGTGCAAGTTCCTTCGACTTCAGTGAACAGTTTGGTCTTTACTTGTTCCAGCAATTGCGGCCCAAAATATTGGGGATGCAAAAGAATTTCGTGTTCTAGTGAGATCTAGATTTTAATAAAAGAATAATTATAAAATATTTAATTTATTGTTTAGTAAACTTACATGATAAAACATCTTGCCAAGATAGAAATTTTTGCAGGTTATGTTTGTGTGATGATATTTGAAGCGGCAGTAAATCGGATACGTTCGGTTTAGCACGAAGAAATCACATGAAGTTAGATGTGAAAAGAAGTTACTCAAGTTTGATTCAAATTTAAAATGAATGTTAAGGAAGCTCATTATTGAAAGAAGAAGAAGAAGAAAATGAATGTTCTATATAGAAAATATTTATTAAGCTGAGTATATAACTACTTAAATACTATCTATGTATTATATAAATTAATTGTAGTACTTGATAATAATGTAATTTTTGTATTTAACTGAAATTCAGACACAAGGACACATAATTTTATTTACAAATTTGTATTGAAACAATTTGATCTATTGACTAAAGATTATATGATTATATTACTGAAATATAAGTAATTTGGGACAACAAAATCTATGATCAATAACCCTTTGCAGCAGTGGAGTTTTTTGTTTTATTATGTATGACATTTTTATTTTTTTATCGTTAATATATTGTATATAATAAATATTGATGTTTTGTAATTTATTTAAGAAAATTTAAGAACTATGACAATCAAAATTGAATTTAATATCAAAAGATTTTATTTTTGTTTCGGTAATTTTAATATTGCATGTTTCTATTATTATTATGTAATTATAAATTATCATGTTTAAACATATAATTATGTAATTAAAATTATTTATATTTTATTTCATGATATATATTGTCATTCTTCTTGTTGATTTTCTCATTTTGTTTAAGAAGCTCAACTTGGTTCGTATTCTCTGAGTTGTTGACTTCTTCTTTGTAGGTGTCAATAATATGTGTATTCACTCTATATGTTTATTCACACTTGTTCCGTTCGTGTATTTTGAATTTTAAAGCTTACTTTTGAGAGTTCCTTTGTTAATTAGTATCCAGTGCATGTAGAGACAGTATAATTTTTCACTCCACAATGTTGACACTATGGTGGTAAGTCAGTTTCAACTCTGAGTTTTCCTCCATACTAATTTTTGTTTTGTTTTTGTATTCAGCTGTTAAATGATTAAATGTCTCATTTAAAATGTATGGCAGTGGTGTCCATTCTAGTGGACTACTTGTTATTATTGGGTATTGCATATAATCAAAGTAAAAACCCTCTACTATCAGTTTGTCGTAGTATTCGGATATACCTATAATAATTCGTGTTTTTTCCTGTTGCTCCAGAGTTTAATACATTTTAATAATAACAGAATAAGATCCCTTTGTTTTGTCTTTCCAAGTTGAATTCTATTTTTTTAGTTTATCATCATTTTCTTTGTTACAAGTTTTTCTAATTCTACTTATGTATAATTTTATTATTATTTTTTCTTGATTCCCTTTTAACAAGCTTCTGCCATAGTTCATCTTGAAATAGTTTCCTGTATTTAAATAGTAATGGAAGAGATACGTCTGGTTTTGTTTTTTCATTGTATTTGTTTGTTTTTAACTCTTTTCAAGTTGTTGATTCGGTCGTTCATTTTCATGTTGCTGGTTTTTTTAGATTTTGTTGTTGATGTATTTTTATTAGTGTGATTTGTTTTTGATTTGCTTTCTGTTTATTTGACTTATTTACACAAAAAATGTTAATTTACATTTTTGTTTCTTATAGGTTAATATATAATTTTCTTTCATATTAATATTTCAAAAATAATCAACAATGTACCAGGCGCATCCACCAGAAATTAAGTGAAGTGATGTGAGTATTTATATATTGCCAATGAATTGTCTATTGATTTGCATATACTTATGTCAGATACAAAATTTATGTGAAGGAAATGTACGAAAGTCGTGGGAACAGGGGGAATGCGATCGCGGAATTCATTACACTTCTTCTTGTTCTTCTTCGGTATTTTCGTTTCATTCTTCCGCGGAGTGTTTCGGTTATTGTTCTTATCGTTAGGCGCAATTTGAGAGTGGAATGTCTGTAAAAGCATTAGTAAATATAAGGGTGCGCATCTTGAACATGAAGTATGCATGAGACCGCTAAAACAATGAAGCCGAGCGCCGCGCAGGGGTCTCTGGTGTGGGGTTTTTCAAATAGAACACAAGAATAAAGAGAGGATTTCAATCAAACGAGATGAACTCATGACTTTATGCAAGAGGTGGGCGAACAAATTCTAATCGGATCGATTGGACCGCTCCAGCACACTGCTTTATATTACCTTTCAGGGAGTCTGGAAAAGAGAAGAGCTCTTCCCATACCCGAACACTAAATTATTATTACTGCGGGGACTTTCTTCTTTTTATTTTTCTTCTTATTCTTCATCATATTCTCGTCGTTTTTTTTATTATTATTTTATTTATTTTCTGACCCCTCGTCCGTTCGTCGAATCCTTGGGGTGAATTAGAATGTGCACTTTTCCGCCCCAAAAGTCTGATCGACTCCTTGTCGACTACCCTGTCTTGGCTTGGTATGGCCTGGACTGCCGGAGATAGCGATAACATATTTCTGGTTCTTCCGCTCCACTAAGTTCCAGCTAAAAATTATACCTCATGGCTTGACCGACGGCCACAACTTGCGATATTATTGCTGCTCTTTCCTATCTTCCGGCTCATGCATAATGGAAACCGACTTCCATATTTCGTTAGATGCTCTCGCACTATATATAGAAAATAACATGGAATGATGTTTTCAGCGAAAATATAAACCTCCCCATCTTCGGGGTGCAATAAAAATAAACTCGGAGCATTAATCACCCAAGATATATCAAATAATGGTAATAAATGCTGCGCCTCGAAAAAGTTTACAATAAACTGTGAACGTGGACAACCCCAGAACTGAATAAAAACGTCGCATCCCAATATTTTCTAAAGCTAAACATTAATAGTAACTTTATAAATAACTTTCTTCTATTGGAATCCATGCCAAAAAATCTATAAACAAAATATAGAAAAAAATATAATATCATAAAATATCTACATGAATTTGTAGAAGACATTACTACAATTAAATGTAATGTAATCATAACAAATATAATATTTACTAATTAATTTTAGTATATTATTAATATCATATAAAACCACTTTGAAATGTAGAAATTTTTGCTTACAATTATTTTGTATAAGAATTGTAAAATAGTTATTACAATTTTTATAAGGATTAGTTGTTTTTTACTGTTAATATCCTATAAATTTTAATTCAAATGATGATAAAAAAGAGATCTCAAAATATAATTAAGTGCTGGCATTTATTAGTGTAAAAATAAAAGTACGTAGTTTACTGATAATATATATTCTCCTCCTACTTACGAACTAGTTACTTTCCAAAGGGTTGTTCGTAAGTCGAATTGTTATCTTACTACACTTTATCATGGTTTTTACTTTTATATATGTTAAATTACGTATTACTGATTGCATAAATTTGATACAATAGATTAAAATAAACAAGATACTTACTTACAAATATTTTCAATGTAGGCATCATTTAATAAAAAAAACGACAAAAGAAACAAATGCAACAAAACAGATAGTATATCTTGCAAAAATATTATATTTTATTAAAAAAAATAACAATTTTTGTTTGGACAGTTAACTTTTTTATCACTATATCTTAGAGCTTTTATAAATTTGTTCGTAAGTCCGGGAGATCGTAAGTCGGGGGATACCTGTAATTTTAAAATTACTATATGTATTAGATATGTATACAATATCTTGGTTTGTGTTCTTTTAGTTAGTTGATTATGAGTATTTACAAAGATTTTAGACATTATTTAATATGTCGCTAGGCGCATCCACCGGTAAGAAAAAAAAATGATTTTCAATTTATATAACATTACCACCGAATCCATATTAGATAAAAAAGGAAATGAACTAATATTAAGAAAAAAAGGACAATCTTCATTATCTCTTCAAGAAGTATATGAGAAATATAAGAAAAAGGGCCTAACAGCTACCCTTCCTTCTGGAAATGTAAGATTAAATGAAAGAAATTAGATAGCGTTGTATAAAAAACAGGTTGTGAAGGCCAACAAATATATTTTGTGATACATGTTAAGTTGGTTTATGTCTAAACAGAAATATTTATTTTCCAGATTAAAGAAAATTGTTGGTTAAATGACGTTTGTTCCACTATATTAGAAAAGTGAATACTGAATGAACGATGTCATCATCATATCTGTCTTATATAAGATACTAGCAAAATACATTTTTGATGTCTTTGTATTATTTTTATTATTATTTAAATTTACTGATGAAAGAAAATAATTATTTAAAAAACGGACATTTACCATTTCTATTGTATGGCAGTGGTGTCCATTCTAGTGGAGTACTTGTTATTGTTGGGTATTGCATATAATCAAAGTAAAAATCCTCTACTATCAGTTTGTCGTAGTATTCAGATAGACCCATAGTTCATCTTGAAATAGTTTCCTTTGTATATAAATAGTAATGGAAGTGATACGTCTGGTTTTGTTTTTTCATTATATTTGTTTGTTTTTAACTCCTTTCAAGTTGTTGATTCGCTTGTTCATTTTCATGTATTTGCTAGATTTTTAGATTTTGTTGTTGCTGTTTATATGACTTATTGTTAATTTACATTTCATCATCATATCTGTCTTATATAAGATACTGAAAAAATACATTTTTGATGTCTTTGTATTATTTTTATTATTATATACATTCTGATAGTATATACATTTTTTTTTTTTTATTTATATACAATTTTTACAATATTTTTTTATACATTTTTATTAGTATTTATATGGTATTTTGAGCAGGCTTGTTGGTTTACTATGTTCTATGTCGTCGTTCCGCGACCCCGCATCCAACACATCATTTTTGTTTTAAACTTTTTTATGTCTATTTCTCTTCTTATTTCCTCTGGAACCATGTTGTATTGTGCTACGCCCTGCACAATGTATTTACTGTTTGTATTATTATATAAATTTACTGATGAAAGAAAATAATTATTTAAAAAATAGGGAATTTCATTAAGTGAGATTTTGTTCTAAAATCGAGATGTTTTTGTTCCAATTTTTTGTTTTGGAACCGAATTGTTTCACTGTATTAGAAAACTGAAGATTGAATTTGCGATTTAATCATCGTATC